GAGGCGTGTTTTGATCCCACATTTTGGGGCCGTGACAGGGGTTTTCCTCAAGCTCCTGACTCGGTGGTGGGGTTTGTCTAACGGGGACTCGAACCACAGCTCCGTGGTGGGCCTGAACCTGAAACGTGGCCAAGGACGATGGTTTTGTGCCCGGTTTTGTGCCCAGTTTTGTGCCACTGCCCTTGAGGAAACCCACCCTGCCAAGGCTCAGTCCCTGGGCTGTGCCATCCCCGTGAAGAATGGATGATGCCCCTAATTAAGCAGCCCTGTAACTCCCCTAATTACCAAGTGCTCTGTAGCACGGCACTCCTAGAGGTGTGTGTGTGTGTTTATTTTCATTTTTTTCCTCCTCCTTTCGCAAGGCGTCGCAGGCTCTGGCAGGGGAGGATTAGAAGTCGGTGCTCGAAGCCACTCCAGGCCTTTTTGCGCCACCTCCTCGCGCCCTTCCTTGGCCCTTCGGAGGGGCAGAGCAGCTCTCCAGCCCCTCGTGGAGTGCTGGAAAATCAACACGGGGCTGTGCCACCGTTTGCTTTCGGTCTGACCCCTGCCTGGGGTTGAATTCAGCCCCTCGGCTCGTCTCGAGCAACTGTTGAACTTCCAACCTCCGGCCACTTAGTCAAATTAAAGTGGAGGATTTAATCTGATTGTTGGCAGCCCCGGCCGGTGCCTCGTGCTCCTTCTGAGCCCCGGGGTTGTGTTTCACAGCCCTGGCATCGCGGGGAGCTGGCAGGAGGCTGGGGACGGGGGAATTATCTCACCCTAAGGACAGGGCAAGCAGCCAGCGGCTCCTCCTGAGGTGAGGTTGGCACTATGGGAGCGAGGTGCCTGTCCCAGGGGTGCTTTTGTGTTCTTTTAGGGACAATTTTGATGCCTCAGGAGGTGCTCGGGGTGACTCGCTGCTCTCCCTTTTTCCAGGAGGAGAGGGAGAAGCGGCGGCTGGAGCAGCTGGAGCGCAAGAAGGAGCTGCAGCGCCTGCTGGAGGAGGAGGACTCGAAGCTGAAAGGGAAATCGCCCAAACAGGTGGCTCCGGGCAAAGTCACCAGGGCCCAGATCGAGGAGAGCATCAGGAAGGACCAGCAGCAGAAGGAGAACACGGACACAGGTTGGGGGGCACTGCGGAAAGACCCCGGGAGGGGAAAGGGGAGAGGGGACGGCTCCTTAGAGGGGATGGCTCCTTCTCCTTCAGTCCCTGAAGGGATGAGGAGCTCGGAGAGCAAGGGCTGCCTGCAGCCGTCCCGTGCTGCGTGTTTGGTTTTTATTTGGCACCCAAATGGGGCCAAAATGCAACCTCCTGGCTCCCTGAGGCGGGGAGCAGGGCTGCCAAGTTGGCGCTCGTCCTCGCCAGCCCTGGGGACTCGGGCTGAGGTTTCCCAGCTCTCTCCTCAGTGCTTTTGGCAGAGGCTGTGCCTCTCCTGGGACCGTTACAGAGCCGGGATCCCACATTAACAGCTCCTCTTCCCCTTTCCCTGCGCAGTGGAGAAGGAGAAGACTCACTTGGAGGTCCCCTTGGAGGAGAACATCAACCGGAGGGTGCCGGAGGAGGGCACGGTGGAGGCCAGGACGATCGAAGATGCCATCGCCGTCCTCAGGTAGGTGGCCGTGCCTTGATGCTGTGCTCCCCCTGAAGGCACCGTGTTTTTGAGGAGAAATTCCTGCAGGAATTCCCTTTTCCCACCACCTCAGCACCTTTCCCTCCCGGCAGCGAGGCCGAGCCCAGCCCCAATATCCCTTGGAGCTGGGAGGGGGCTCCCCGCTTTATCACCAGCCTTTTTTCTGTGCTCCCCGAGCTGCTCGGACGGGGGGAGCAGAGCTGGGCAAGCCGTGGCTGAATTTTGGGAGCTGCTGGCGCTGTTTGTGCGGCCCTGTTGGTGACGTGTGTCCTTTTTCCCTCCCGCAGCGTCGCCAACGAGCTGGACCGGCACCCCGAGCGCCGCATGAAAGCCGCCTTCACGGCCTTCGAGGAGCTCAACCTGCCCCGCCTGAAGCAGGAGAACCCCAACATGCGCCTGTCCCAGCTCAAGCAGCTCCTCAAGAAGGAGTGGATGAAGTCCCCGGACAACCCCATGAACCAGAGGCACAAAGCTTACAACAGCCAAAAGTAGAACTTTTTTTTTAGGGCCGGGCAGGCTGGAGCTCCAGACCGTGCTTGGATGAAGCAGGAGGCGCCAGGAACCTCCCCCCCCTGCCCTTCCCCTCCCTGCCCTTCCCTCTTTTTGTCCTTTTGGTTGGATTTAAGTTAAACACAAGGCCTGTACAGCCCCCCCCCCTCTCGGGGTCCTGCTGCCCTCGCGTGCTCGCCTCCTGGCGCGGAGTCCCCCCGGACAGCCTGCCGCCGCCTCTGCGCTTCTCAGCTCGGTTCTCGCCTCACAAAAAGCCACCAATTTCCTTCCCCAGCTCCAGCGGGGGGGCCCCCACGCCTCGATTTCACCCCCACGCCTTGATTTCACCCCCTCACAGCCTGGACCCCCCCCAGCCTGCGTTCCTCCCTGCGCCCCGAGCTCTGTGCGGGGCAAATTCCTCCCAACGTCCCGAGCAGGCCCCTGCCCTCTGCTCCTCCTTCCTGGCGTGGTTATTATTTTATTTTATTTTTTTTGGTGCTGGGGTGGCCCCCGAAGAGCTTCCAGCTGGAATCCTGCTGCCTCCCTCCCTTCCCCTCCCAGCCCTGCGTCCTCCGGGGAGGTGGAAGCAGAATTTGGGCAGCTCGGGGCTGGAGGGGAGAGGGGGAAACCTCCTCCACGGGGGAAAAATGAGCCCAGCGAGGTTCCTGCCCTCTCCACGTGGGACACAAGCGCCAGACTTCTTGTGTCTGACTTCCCCAGTAGCCCCCAGTGCCCCCCCGGGGAGCCCAGAGCCCCCCACTGGGCCAAGAGGGGGTCTGGGGGGGTGGCTGCAACCCAAGAACTGCCCCCGAGAAGTGAAGCTGCTGCTTTTTCTGCTCCCTGCGTCAGGCAAGGAAGGGCCCCGAGTTTATGGAAAGGGTCCCGAATTTATGGAAAGGGCCCCGAGGTGCCCCCCACCCCCATTTGGAGCCCCTGCAGCCCCCCAGGTTTGTGGGGGGGGGGGAAGGCAGCGAGCTCCCCGGGTGGAATCGTGCCCCGTGCTGTGAGCGAGCAGCGCCTTGCCCTCTCTTTTTTTCTCCCCTTTCCCACCTCCGGGCCCCTCTTTAGGACCTTTTTAGGGTCTAAACCACCCCCGGGCCCCTTTTTAAGACCTTTTTAGGGTCTAAATTTAGGGTCTAAACCACCCCCAGGGGCCCTTTTTTAGGACCTTTTGAAGGTCTAAACCCTTACCCAGGCAGCAGCTCCAGCGCCTTCGGTGCCCCCACGAGTGGGGTGGGGGCTACCAGGGGGCTGTGTCCCCTTCCCCTGCTACTGGGGGGCACTGGGGGGGCGCTGGGCTTTCTCACGGTACAGAACCCGCGCCCCAACCCCTCTGCGCCCCCCCCTTTTTGCAGAGGGGAGGTGGAAGGGGGTCTCCCCCCCCCCACACACACACACACAGCCCCCTACCCCGTGGGGGGGTAGAGGCAGGGAGAAATGCAGCCGGCGCAACACCCCCCCCCCCCCCCCCCCGTGAGAAGTTTGTGGTGTTTGAATCCCATTAAAAACAGAAAAAATTGAGCAAAAAAAAAAAAAATGGGGGGGCTGTGAGAGGAGTGAAATGGGGGGAAAACGGGGCTGGGGGGGGGGGGAGGGCTGATAATTTGGGGCTGGGGGAGGCTTCTACCTGCCCCATTTGGATGGGGCCCTTCCAAATCCCATTGGGGGGTGCTGGCTTGAGGGGGGGGGGGCAAAGGGGGGCTCTCCCTGGTACAAAAAATGCCCAAATTCAGCCCAATTCTTGGTCCCCCCTTGCCAGCTTTGTTCCTGGAGCCCCCCCAGCCACGCTGAGCCCCCCCACCCTTACATCCCTCTCGTGGGGTCCCGGGGGGGGGGGAGCTGGCGGTGCCCCCCCCTTACCCTCCTTCGTCTCCTCCTCCTCTTCCTCGCTGCACTGCGGCTTTGAGGGGCTGTAGCTCGCGGTGCCCCCCCCCACGCTGCAGTGCCGTGGGGACCCCCCCATCCTGAGGGGCTAATGGGGGGGCTTCCCCCCCACAAATGCAACGCACCCCCCCCCATTCCAAGGGCGGGGTGAATTGGGGGTCCCCCCAGGGCAGGGGGGGATCCCCAGATTGGGGGGGGGCTCAGGGTTATTCCCCCCCCCGCGAGATGGGATCCTGCGGGCACTGAAGGGGTTAATGGGGGAACCCCCCCCCCCCCCACACACACACACAGGTGCCCCCCAATTTGGGGGGGTTCCCGGTTCTGTGCCCCCCCCCTTTCAAATCGGGGGGGGGGGGTTCCCGCTGCGGGCGGGGCTGAGCGCAGAGGGGAGGGATTCCCCGCCCCGCCTCCCCCCCCCCCCCCCCGGGGATTCCCCCTCCCTTTCTGCCCCCCCTCCCCCCAAAAAAAATATTAAAAAAGGCATCCCGCTGCGGGGGGGAGGGGGGGGGCGCTGTCATGGCAACGGGGGAGGGAAAACCCGCGGGGGGGGCGCAGCGATCACGCGACCGCGGCATCCTCGGAGCCCCCGCGCAGGGCTGGCACCGGGCATCCCCCCCCCCCCCCAGCATCCCCCCCCCCGGCATCCCCCCCCCCAAGCACCGGGCATCCCCCCCCCGGCCCCCAGCAACCCCCCCCCGCCCCCCGGTAACCCCCCCAGCCCCGGGTATCCCCCCCCGCAGCCCCTCCCCGCGCATCGCTCGCCCTGCACCAAGCCCCCCCCCAGCTCCGTGCGCGCCCCCTGCACCACGGAACCCCCCCCCCAAAACACCCCGCAGCTCCCCCCCCACCTCACCACGCACCGCCCCTGCACCACGCAGCCCCCGGCCCCCCCCCCCCCCCCCCGCCCCCTCCCCTCCCCGTGCCCGTCCCCCCCCCGCGCACTGCAGCACGGAGCTGGGCGCGCGCCCCTGTGCGCGCCCCCCCTTTCACGCCCCTTGCACGCTCAGATCCGCGTCTGCCCCCCCCCTTGCACGACCCCCCCGTGCGTGTTACCCCCCCCATGCGTGTGTGCCCCCCCCCACAAGCTTTGTTCCACGTCCCCCCCCCCCAATCTCCTCGCCCTCCGCGCACCGGAGCTTTGCGCACCGCGGCTCTCCCCCGACAAAGAGGAGCGAGGGGGGGGTCCGGGGGGGGCTGCAGGCGGCCGTGCCCCCCCCTCACCCCCCGCTGCAGCACCCCGCACCCCGATCCCGGTGCTGGGGGGCTGCTGGGGGGCACCCCGCCCTCCCCCCCCCCCCCCCGGGGAGCCTCCTGCTCCTGGTTCCCCGCTGGCACCGGGGACTCCCCCCCGTGATCCCGGGGATCCCCTGGGTTTTGGGGACCCCCCCCGCCCCAAACGGCGCGGGGATGGGGAAGGGGAGCAGAGGGGACCCCCCCCGCGGAAAGGGGGGGGGGGAAGCGCTGCTCTGGCCAAGGTGCCCCCAGCGTAACCGCGCCACCCTTGGGCGCTCCTTGGGCACCGGGGGGACCCTTTGGGTACGCCCGGGGGGGGGACACCGGGCTCAGGGCCGCCGCGGGGGGGGGACACCAGGGGAAGGAGGGGGGGCAGCGGGAGGCGGGTGCTCGCCCCCCCCCCCTGCAAATATGACAATGGGGAGGGGGGAGCCGCAGACAATAGGGCGACGGGAGCGCGCGGGGCGGCGGGAGCGCGCGGCGGAGCGGTAGCGCAGCGCCTCCCCCCCGCACCGCCCCGCACCGGGGCTTTGCCGAGGCGCCGAGAGGTGCCCGGGGGGGACCGAACCGAAGCCCTCGCCCCCCCCCCACTTCCTCGGTTTCTCTCCCCCGCCCCCCGTCCCCCCCCCCCCGACCCCCGGTTCGGCCGCCGAGGTCGCCCCTGCCAGCCCCGGGCCATGGTCACCGGCGGCGGCGCTCGAGGGGAGCGGAGGCCGGGGGCTGCCCGCAGGTGGGTGCTCGGTTTTGGGGGGGGGGGATTAGCGGGGAGGGGGGGGCACCCCCCCGGTATTGGGGACCCCCCCGGTAATGGGGAACCCCCCGGCTTTGACACGCAGCGGCGCCGGGAGAGCCCGGGGACCCCCCCGCCTCGGGGACCCCCGTTGGCACCGGGGACCCGCTGGCTCCTGGGGACCCCCCCCGGCACCTGAGGACCCCCCCAGGAACCTGGGGACCCCCCCGCAGCTCCCGGGGCTGCTCCAGCACCGGGGACTCCCCCGGTTCCTGAGGACTCCCAGGCGGGGGGGGGGGGGGAACCCCCAGCTCCCGGGAATCCCCCGGCTCCGGGGACCCCCCCGGGTGCCACCGCGCTGCGGAGGGGGCTCTGGGGGGGGGGCACCGCTTTGCAGGGAGGGGACGGGGATGCCGTGGGGGGGGCTGCCCGGAGGGTACCCCAACGCCAGGCTTTGTGGGGGGGGGGCACAAGCAGGGCCCGTTCTCCCCCCACCCTGCACCATTTGTATCTGGGGGGGGGGACGCGATGGGAGTGCCCGGCTAAAAATACCCCCCTCCCCCAGCGCCGCGGCCTCAAGGTCACCATCCGCCGTGAGGGGGGGGGCCGCGGGGGGGGGAAGATGCGGGGGCGTGGGGCGGGGAAGCCCCCGGTCCCCCCCCCACGCCCCCCAACCCCCCCATTCGCCGCCGCTCCCGCAGGCACCCGGCTGCGGCGCACGGAGCGCGCACCCCCCCAGCCCCTTCGCCCCCCCCCCAAATCCCGTGGGGCCGTGACAGGTGAGCGGGGGGGCACCGGGGGGCCGAGGGGGGGTGGGGGGAGCCCCTCCCGCTGCTGTTTGTGGAGCGGGCCCCCCCCCCCGGGGAGGGATTCCCCCTCCCGTACTGGGGGCATCCCCGTGTCCCCAGCGGGATTTGGGGACGTTGGGGACGCCGCCAGCTCCGGGCAACCCCCAAATTTTTTTTTTTCGGGGGGGGGCTCCGCGACCGATGCCACGAGGCTGGGAGGGGGGCGAGGGGTTGGGGGACACCCCCTGGTGTTCCCCCCCCCCTCCCGGTTACCCCCCCCCTACCCGGTAGGATCCCATTCCCGTGCCCGTGGCTGCGAGCCTCGAGGGGCAAATCTTGGCCATGCCCCGGGACTGGGGGGGCTTGGGGGGGTCGGGGGGGGCGTGCAAGGGTGCTGGGGGTGTGGGGGGGCGTGCAGGGGGCTGGGGCTGCCCCCCCCCCCCCCACGGGCCTGTGTCCCTGGGGCATGCTCGGTGTTCGCCGGCTCAAAGTCCGGGGGCACCCCCTGAGGCCCCAGGTGCGCCACGGGGACCCCCCCCCGACCCCCCCCCGATCCCCTCCGACCCCCCTCCAGCCCCTCTCCGCCCCCCCCCCGTAACCTTGGGACCCCACACGGGGTCGGGGGTGACCCCATACCCGGGGACACCCCCGCGCTGTGAAGGTGCCGGCAAGGTTTGGGGGGGCCCCCCCACCCCCCCAGGGCAGCAGGGACACCCGGGGGGGGCCCGAACCCACCCCCCCGGGGCAAGGGGGGGCCGTGTGCGACTCGTGGGGGGGGCAGCCAAGCGAGGTGGCTTTGTCCTTCGGCTGAGCCGAGCCGCATGGAGGGGGGGGGCACAGCGGGCGGTGGCTTTGTCTGGGGACAGCGGGGGGGGCACGGGGACCCCTCGCCCCCCCCCACCCACCCCGGGACCCCCCCCCCCCGCTGGCTCTGCCCCATCAATGAGGGCTGGGGACGTTTTGGGTTGGGGACGGGGGGGCGCCCAGCCCCTGGGGGTGGCCGCTGGGGTGGCAGCGCGGGGGGGGCTCGTTTGGGGTGGGAAGGGGGGGGGAGGACATCACCCCCCCCCCCCATTTAGGTCGGTGGGGGCTGCCACCCCCTCCCCCTCCCCTCTCCCCCTCCCCTCTCAGGGATTCCCCTCTTTGCAGCTCTCCCCATGTCCCCCCCCCAACCTTTTTCCCCTCTCACCCCCCCACGGGAACCCCCTCACCCCCCAAAACCCCCCCACCACCCCCATGGCTCGGGGGGGGGGCTCAGGTTGGACCCTGATGGGGCTGAACCCCCCCAGCAGCGGGGTCCCGCGGTGGCACCGTCCTTGTACCGGTGGCCTGGAGGGGGGGGGGGGCTCAGTCCCACGCCCCCCAAATCCTGCTCAGCCCCCCCCCCCCCCACCCTATGCCAATATTTGCGGGGGCCGGGGGGGGCTCCTGCCAGCCCCGCCAGCTGCTCCCCAACCCCGGCCATATGGCTGGGTCCCCGTTCCTCCTCCCCCAGCGGGGCTGCGGGCACAGCCTCTGCACCCCCAAATTCCACCCCCCCCTCCCCAAAATCCCCCCCCCAGCCCCGTGATTCCCAGGCAGGAATTAACGAGCGGGCGATAAATAAATCAGCAGCCGGGAGGGGGCCTTTGGGCCTCTATTTTTAGCTGCACCCTCCTCTGCAGTTGCTCCCAGGCACGGGGTTGGGGGGGGGGGACACACAAAAAACTGGGGGGGGGGGGTCTTGCTGGCACCCATGGGGACAGGAGGGTCCCCAGGGCACCGGGGTTAAACCACGGCCCCCCCCCCTGCTTGGGTGCTGGGGATGGGACCCCCGCTTCCTCCCCACCCTGGGGTCCTCTCTGGGGGCCCCCCCCAGGTTGTCCCCATGGTGGGGGCGTGGGGGGGGACCCCACAGCCCCCCGGGGGAGGCAGGGTGGGGGCAGCAGGGCTGGGTGCAGCCCCTCGCTGCGGCGTTTGGGGCAAAAATGTGCCCCCCCCTCCCTGCCCGCTGCACCGGGACCCCCCCCATCCCCTGCCTGGCCCCCCCATTTGAAGTCTGTGATGTCTCCATGTCCCCTCTCCAGGGGGGCAGGTTCCCCCCACCTTGGCTGGGGGGGGCCAGGTTTGTCCCAGCTCCCAGCACCGTCCCCTTGGGCTGGGGTCACCCTGGTGGCACTGGAGGGGGGTTAAAGGGGGGGGGTCCCGGTGCCGCATCGCCCGTGCTGCCATCACTGGGGACACCCGGGGCTGGCGCTCAAGGACATCCACGTAACCGAGATGCCCCTGGGATTGGGGGGGGGGGGGAGAATTGGGGGGGTCCCCTGTCCCTGTGAGCTCAGCACCCGCATCCTGCACGCCCCGGCACCCCAGGGTGGCAGCACCGTGGGGACAGGGATGGGGACGGGGACACGGGGACACCCCCGGGAGCTTTCACCCGCCCTGGTGCCCCGACGGAGAGGTTCGCGGTGGCGTCTGTGGGGGCACAAGATTTACCGAGGCCTCTTTGCCATCGCCACGCGGCCACGGCTTCCTAAAATATTTCCCGGGAGCCGCCTCCGGGGCCCTTTTCGGACCCGATTCCCCAGCCCCAAAAGTTTGGCGGTGCCGTGGGGGCGAGCGCTCGGCCCTGGTGGGGGCTCAGCTTCCCCTCGGCGCCGCCCGCCCTGGTGTTTGCTCCCCGACCGAGGGTGAAAATGAAACGGGAGCCCAGCTCCCCGCAAAAAATTTGGGAAAACGGCGAGAAAATGGTCAAAAATGATCGGCCTCTGGAGGGGAACTGGTGGCCCCACGGGCGCACTGTGGAGCAGCGGGTCCCCGGAGCCTTGGCACCCCGTAATTAGCCCTGGGGGGGGCACAAATGGGGCCCCTTGGCCGCAGACGGGTGCTGGCAGCACCCTGCGGGGTGTCCCCGTGCGCCGGGGGGGCCGTGAGCACGGTGGCTGCGTTTGCAACGGGGCCGACGAGGCCGGTGTGGGGGCTGCTGCGGCACCGGGGTGCATATGGGGGGGCCTTAAATTTGGGGAGCTGCCACCCCCAGGGTGCTGTTGTGGGGTTGGGAGGGGGATCCCCCTGGATTTCCCCCCTCCAAGGCCCTGCAGCTGGTGCGCAGGGGCTGCGCTGGGGGGGCTCACGGTGCGCACGGGGGCTGCGGTGCTGCTGGCCCTGGGGGGCTCACACCGGGGGGTCCCTCATGCAGCGGGGCTGGTTGTGCTGGGGGGGCTGTGCTGGCTGCAAGGGGGCCGGTTGTGCAATGGGACTGGTTGTGCAAGGGGGCTGTTGGTGCAACGGGGCTGTGTGCAGCAGTGAGGCCTTTCGTGCAACGGGGCCGTTTGTGCAGCAGGGCCGTTTGTGCAATGGGGACATGTTCGTGCAATGGGGGTGTTTGTGGAACGGGGCTGTTTGTGCAAAGGGGGTGTTTGTGCAGTGGGACTGCTTGTGCAATGGGGTCGTTTGTGCAATGGGACGTTTGTGTCAATGGGGACGTTTGTGCAACGGGGACATTTGTGCAAGGGGGATGTTTGTGCAATGGGGTCGTTGGTGCAGCGGGGCTGCTTGTGCAATGGGACAGCTCACGTGATGGGGCTGTTTGTGCAAAAGGGACATTTGTGCAACGGGGCCGTTTGTGCAAGGGGTCTGTCTGTGTCCACGGGGCTGCTCGTGCACCGCAGGCACTCGTGCAGCGGGGCCGGTGGCGCAGCGGGGCCGTTGAGGCCGTGGTGGTGTTGGTGCAGGGGGGGCTGCGTGTGCCACGGGACCCGGGCCATCGGTGCAAGGGGGCTGCGGGTGCCGGGGGCTGTTTGTGCAACGGGGTCTGCATCAGGCCCGTGCAGCAGGGCCTGGGGGGGGCCTTTTGGGCTCCGTCACCCCCCCGGTGCAGGCAGGCAGCGCGGCTCTGTCCCCGCTATGAGGGTGCAGGGTGGGGGGGCTCAGCCGAGCACCCCCCGCCCCCGCGCCCTGCCCCATTTTCCCCTTTTCCAATCTCCTGGGGACAAAACGACATCCCAAAAATACCCAAAATCCACGGCCGTGCTCGCCCAGTCCCCGCTCGGCCCTGGCTGCCGCGGGGGGGGCTCGGTGCTGCAATGGGGCTGGAGGGGGGGGTGTCTCCGAGGGTCCCCCCAAACCTCCCCATGCACCCGGGGGGGGCTCACGCCACCCCCGCTAATGCCACCTCTCCTCCCCGGCCAGGCGTGGAGGGAAACCCATGGCACCCGGCCCCCCGGACCCCCCCCGTGCCAAGCCCCAGCCCCGCTCCCATAGCCCCTAGCGCCCCGAGACCCCCCCCCGCCGGCAGCGGGGAGCGCGAGCAGGTACGGGGGTGCGGGGTGCCAGGGGTGGCGGGGCTGGGGTGCAGGGGGGGCTGCTGAGGGGCCGGGGGGGGGGTCCCAGGGGGCGTGGGAGGGGTGGAGGGGGGTGATGGTGGGGGGGTGCATGGGGTGGTGGAGGGGGGGGTGCATGGGGGGATGATGGGGGGGGCGCATTGGGGTGGTAGTGCTGGAAATGGGGTGCTGGGGGGGGTGCATGGAGTGGGGGGGTGCTCGGGGGTGGGTTTTGGGGTGCAGGTGAATGAGGGTGGGGGTTGAGGGGTTGGGGGGTGCTCAGGGGGTGCACGGGGTTGTTACGGGGGGGGCTGGAGGCTGCGCGTTGGGGGGGGATGGAGCCTGATGGGGGGTGCATGGGGCTGCGGGGGGGGCTGTGGTGGAGGGTTGGGGGCGTGCACAGGGTGATGGGGGGGGGCGTAGGGTGGTGGGGGCGGTGTGGGGGGTGCATGGGGTGATGGGGAATTGGGGGGGTGATGGGGAATTGGGGGGCGGGGGGGCGACAGCGAGGGGTGTGGGGGGATGGCAGCAGGGTGCAGGGGGGGTGCAGTGGGGGTCACCCGTGGGGAGGGGACCCTGTAGGGGGGGATCCCCTGTTGGGGGGGGTTCCCCGTTGGGGGGGGGCTCTGGGGGTACCCGGGGGACCCCGGGGGGCGCTTGGGGAGGGGAGGGGGTGGGGGGGCGGAGCCGGCGCACGGGGGTGGGCGGGGCTCGGATGCCTACGTCACGAGGGGGCGTGCCCCCTCCCAACCAATCAGCAACCTCGCTCGGGCCGCCCCCCCCTCGCCCCCCCCCCCCCCGGGCTCTCCGGTCCCGCCGCCGCCGCGCGCCCCCGGGGCCGAACCGGGCTGCGGCGGCTGCGGCGCGGCCCCGGGTCGGGCTCCGGTCCCCGGTCCCCGGCGGCAGGTGGGGGGGGTTGGGGGGGGGCAGCAGGGTGGGGGGGGGTCGCTGAGCCCACTCCCGGTAACCGGGACCGAGCCGTGCCGGTGCCACCCCCCACCCCCCCCCGGTAACCGGCCGGTCCCCGGTGCCGCTGCGCCCCCGGGATGGCGACGGTGGCGCACGGGGGGGGCGCGCACGGTGCGGTGCGGAGAGGGGGGAGGTTTTTAGGGGAGGGGGTGGGCACCGTGGGTGAGCCCCCACGTGCGGGGCAGGTGGCGGTGGTGGTGGTGGGGAGGGGGGGGCGCAGCTCGGTGCCCCAACCGGTGCCTTCTTTCACGCCCCCCCTCAACCCCCCCCCAGGTGCCCCCCGCGCCGCTGAGCCATGCGGCATCGCCCGGCCCCCAGCTCGCCACAGCCATGAGCGGCTGCCGCTCCAATGGGGGGGTCCTGAGCGCCTCGACCCCCACCCTGCACCCAGCGGAGGCCGAGACCCAACCCCTGCGACCCCGCCGCCCCCCCGGGTTGGAGGAGGTGGTGGTGGTCTCCCGGCCCGAGCAGCAGCCCCCAGCCCCCGGGGGGGATGCGGCGGAGACGCGGGGGCCGCGGCGCCCCCAAAACATCGGCTACAAGCTGGGCCACCGGCGCGCCCTCTTCGAGAAGCGCAAGCGGCTCAGCGACTACGCCCTCATTTTCGGCATGTTTGGCATCGTGGTCATGGTCACGGAGACGGAGCTGTCCTGGGGGGTCTACACCAAGGTGGGATTTTGGGGGGGGTGCACGGCGGGGACGGGCTCGGGGCTGCCCCGCTGGGCTCACGCCGCTCGTTACCCCCCCCGTAGGAGTCGTCGTACTCATTTGCACTGAAATGCCTTATCAGCCTCTCCACCCTCATCCTCCTGGGGCTCATCGTCATGTACCACGCCAGGGAGATCCAGGTGAGGGGCACCCACGGGTGCGCACCCACGGCGGGGGTCCTGTGCACCCCCTCCCCAGCTCTGTGCCACCTCCCAGCGCCCTGCGCTCCCCGCAGCTCTTCATGGTGGACAACGGCGCGGACGACTGGCGCATCGCCATGACCTACGAGCGCATTTTCTTCATCGCCCTGGAGCTGCTGGTGTGCGCCATCCACCCCATCCCCGGGCAGTACCTGTTCACCTGGACGGCTCGCCTCGCCTTCACCTACGCCGCCTCGGTGGCCGACGCCGACGTGGACATCATCCTCTCCATCCCCATGTTCCTGCGGCTCTACCTGATCGGGCGCGTCATGCTGCTGCACAGCAAGCTCTTCACCGACGCCTCCTCCCGCAGCATCGGCGCCCTCAACAAGATCAACTTCAACACCCGCTTCGTCATGAAGACCCTCATGACCATCTGCCCCGGCACCGTGCTGCTGGTCTTCAGCATCTCCTCCTGGATCATCGCCGCCTGGACCGTCCGCGTCTGCGAGAGGTGAGGGGGGTTCGGAGGGTGCAGGGGGCCCCCGGGGTGCTGCCCGCGGGGGCTCTCGGGGAGGGCGCGGGGCTGGGGCACAGCTGAGGACACACGGAGCTGAGCTGGGGGGTACGAGGGGAGCACCCAGAGGAGAGGTCCCTGGGTGTCTTCGCCCGATCCTCGTGCCCTGGGTGCGCCGGGAGGTGGCCGTGGCAGCTTTGCTGGGGCCACGGGTGTTTGCCAGGAGGATTTTGGCAGGATTTCGTCCCCAGTGCGTCCCCACGGATGCTGCAGGACCCCATTACCACTGATAGGGTGGGGGTCTCGGGGCTGGGATGTGGCACGTGCTCCTCAGCTGCCCCCGGCAGGGGTTGGGCTGCGCTCGCCCGTCCCCGTCCCCCCCGCGCTCGCCTTCCTCGGCCGCTTCTCCTCGCCCCGGGACCGCGCATTAACTGCTCTTGTTTTCCCTCTCTGACCGCTCTGCTGCTCGCAGGGACAAACTGTGAGTCACCCCAGGAACCGAGAGCCGCGTCCTGCACGGGACGTTCCCCCCTCACTCCTCCCCTCCACCACCCTCCTCCCCCCCAGCCCCAGGCTTTTTGTGCTACTCAGAATTTAGGATTAGCTGCAGCCGGCGGGTTTTGGGGGGGGTGGGTACGGGAGGGGGCACCTGGGCCAGAATAAAAATCCCAAGGACTTGGAAAGGGGCTGGAGCCTTTTCCACTTGGAACCTCAGCAGATGCAGTGCCCAGGGCTGGCTGCAGCCACGCTTTGAACACCCGGGGGGGGCGTCCCGTGGGGATGGGGGTGCAGCACAGCCCCCCTCTGCCCCATTTTTTTGGGGGTGGATTTGCTGCAGACCCCCCCGTGGGTCCCTGGGGTGGCTCCGGGGCTCCCTGGTTTTGTTCCCGGAGCGCTGAACAAAGCGGAGCCGAGCCAAAGCAGCTGGGCAGGGGCCCTGGGACCCTTTTTATTTCCAGTTGGGGGCTGAAGCATCTCCAAAGGGCTCGCGCTCAGGCTCCGAGCCTTCCCCTCGCTCGGCGTTTCCCCTCCTCGGTGCACGTGGTTCGGGCGCGCTGGGGGAGTCCCGGGGCTGCTCCCTGGGGTGGAGCAGGGGAAGGGGAAGAAGAGGGGCAGAGGGGCAGCACCGTGGGGCAAAGTCCTGGGGCTCTCAGCGCTTTTGGGGACCAGCTGAGCCCGGCTGTGCCTGGCACCCCCCCATGCACCCCAGCCTCCCCTGGGGTGCGTCACCCCCCCGGCATCGCCCCTCCGCATCCCCCGGTGCCGGCTGAGGTTCCAAGCCCAAACTTTGCAGGCTGCGCCTGGGGAGAGGGGGAAGGGGACGCAGCAATCCTAAATTCCTCGCCGCACGCTTCGAGTCCGCCTCCAGCTTGCTGCGATCGGCCCCTGCCCTTTCCTCGCCTCCCCCCTGCCCCCCTCCCCTGGTGTGCGCGCTCCCCGCTGCTCCCCGCATGTCCCCGCTGCCCGGCTCGTCCCGGTGTCCCCGGGGCTGCGTGGGGGGGGGGCACGGCCTGCAGGCGTTCGTGGCTTCGGTGCTGGCCACGGGATCTCAAAGCACAGCGTCCCCCCCCCCAGCAATTCCAGCTCAGTCCCTGCTGGGGGGGCCTCGAGGGGCGAGGGGTGCCCTGCTCCAGGCTGTGTCCCCCCGTGTGGGCACCGTGCGATCGTCCCCAGCTCTGCCGGGAAACGTCCCCTGGCTGGGGGCCTTGCGGTGACACCCGCCTGCTGTGCTTTGAGATCATGGGGGCAGCTCGAGGAGGGTGGGGATTTTATCATCCCCCCCCCCTCTCCCGGCACTGCCCTGGGTGGGCGCAGCTCCACCACCTCCCGCCCCCTCTCCACGGGACGCTTTGGTCACCAGCGCTAGGGGTGCCCGGACCCAGGAGCAAGCTGGAACCCTGGTGCCTCTTTTTGGGGACCCCCCCGGCACGGCGGGGAGCTCGGGCACTCCCCTGGCTGCAGCCCCGGCACGGGGAAGCGGCTGCACATCGCGTGGCCAAGCCCACGGTGCGGGACCCCCCCCGGCTGACGGGCGCTGTGCGCTTGGCCCCGGGCAGGTACCACGACAAGCAGGAGGTGACCAGCAACTTCCTGGGGGCGATGTGGCTGATCTCCATCACCTTCCTCTCCATCGGCTACGGGGACATGGTGCCGCACACCTACTGCGGGAAGGGCGTGTGTCTGCTCACTGGCATCATGGTGAGCTTACCGGGGTATCCCCAGGGGGGCTGGGGGGGCTGCGAGCGCCCGCGGGTGCCGGTGCCGGTGCCCTCACCCCGGTGCTGTGCCCGCAGGGTGCCGGCTGCACGGCTCTGGTCGTCGCCGTCGTTGCCAGAAAGCTAGAGCTCACCAAAGCGGAGAAACACGTGCACAATTTCATGATGGATACGCAGCTAACGAAGCGGGTGAGCTCCCCCCGCCACCCCCCCAGCTCCCCTCTCCGTCCCCTCTGTTGGTGTCCGGCTGGCTCCATCCCCGACCCCCGGCGTTTGGTTGCCTTCAGGTGAAAAATGCTGCTGCCAACGTACTCAGGGAAACGTGGCTCATCTACAAACACACCAAGCTGGTGAAGAAGATCGACCATGCCAAAGTTCGGAAACACCAGTGTAAGTTCCTCCAAGCCATCCATCAGTAAGTGCCAAACCTTTACCTGCTTCCTACGCGGCGCCCGGGCACGGGCCACCGCCAGCCTTGGGTGGCCGTGGAAATGCCCCCTTCTGGCCCCCAATTTCTGCCAGTTCTACCCCAAACGCCCACATCCCCGGGGCTGGCATCCCGATTTCCTTCACAGTCCCATCCCGGGGGGTTGTTTTCCCAGCAGGGGGGGACCCTGGTGGCAGCGGGGTACGGTGCTGGGGTGCCCTTGGGGTGCGCAATGGCACGGCTTGGTGTCACCGTGTCCGCTGCCCGGCTTCACCCACCTCAAGCCCCCGGTGCCTCCTGCTTTGAGGGGAGTGGGAAGCAGAGGGATGGGGGGGTCAGGGGGGGCGCTGGCATCCCCGTGCGCTCTTGGTGGTGGTATTAAACCTGCTGTTGTGTTTTGTCTCTGTTCTGCCCCGTCCCTGCAGAGCCCAGAAGTAAGTCTGCCCGGCTCCTCCGTGCCTGTCCGTCTGCATGGGCTCGGTGCTGCAAAATGGGGAGGGGAGGGGGGGGGAGACTGGCATGGCAGCGCAGCCCCCCCCCCTGGCTGGGGCTGTCTCTTCTTTGGGAGGGTCTGGGGCAGTGCCAGACCATGTGGGAACGTGGGAGCCCCCTGGAAATGTGGAAACGGGGGGCTCACCGGGACCGTGGTTGCTCCCCAGGGGTGCGGGAGCTCTCCAAGACCATGGGAGCCCCCCAGGATTGTGGGACCCCCCCCGAGTGCATGCCGGGGCGCTGGGGAGGACCCCACGGGGTGCCGCTGAGCCGTCCCCGCTCCCCATTCCCCCCGGCAGGTTGAGGAGCGTGAAGATGGAGCAGCGCAAGCTGAACGACCAGGCCAACACGCTGGTGGACCTGGCGAAGGTGAGCCCTGGGGAAAAGGGGACACCGCGTAATGGGGGGGGGGGACACCTTACCGACCCCCCCCAAATTTTCTGACAGACCCAGAACATCATGTACGACATGGTGTCGGAGCTGCAGGAGCGCAACGAGGATCTGGAGAAGCGCATCGGCGCCCTGGAGAGCAAACTGGAGGCGCTGGGGCTGAGCCTGCTGGCGCTGCCGGGGCTGGTCAGCCAAGCCATCGGGCAGCAGCAGCGCGAGCTGCTGGGGACCTGGACCCCCTGCACCCCCCCCTGCCGCCGCAGGTCCCCCCCCACCGCCCCCCACACCTCCTCGGACAGCGGGTGATTTGTAGGAGGGGGGGGGTTGAATGGGGAGGGGGGGTCCCTTTTATGTCTGGCCATCGTGTGGCTGATTTCAGTAGCTTTGTTCTGTAAAGCCCTCTATAAACTTCCTGCGTTCACTGTGCTGGCGTGAGGCTGGAGACCCCCCCCCCTCCTGACCCCCCCCCAGGTGGTCCCGTGCTCCCCCCCAAGGCCAGGGGAGGGTTTTGGAAAGAGGGGAGGGGGGGCGCACACACGAACAGCCCCAGGGGGTCCTGTGGTGGAGGGGGGGAAAAGGGAGAGGGGGGAGAAAAGGGGAGCCCTGAGTTGGTTTTTTTTTTGGGGGGGGTCCGGGGGCTGTCCCCCTGCTGTGGGTTGGAGAGGGGGGGTGAAGGATGGGGCTGGGGTGGTGGGGAGCCAGGAGGGGTGGGGGGCAGTCCCCTCGCCGCTCCGTGCCTCAGTTTCCCCATGTGTAAAATGGGGTGGGGGGGGGTAAGGGGGGGGCGGTGCTGGGCCGGATCCAGTCCTGCCCCCCCCCCCCCTTGCCCTGGCTGGACCCTCGGCGTGGGGGGGGGCTGAGGTGCACATTAAAGGAGGCTGAACTGGACGCGTCGCTCTCTGCTCCTGGTGGACAGGACCCGGGGGGAGGAATGGGGTGGGATGGGGGGGGGGAGATTCCTGCCCTTTTGGGGAGGGGGGGGGGAGAGCTTTGCAACCCCTGGGGGGGCTCCATGGCAGCGGGTGGGGGCCACTCGCTGGGTTTTGGGGGTGCTAGGGGTTTTTGCCAAGCACAACCCAGTTCAAACCAGTGCCGGGGGGGGGGGGCAGGATGCGGCCCCCAGTGGGGCGCTGGGTGGAGGCGGTGCTGGAGCCCCGGGGGGGGGCAAGGGGGGGGCCTGATTCTGCCCCCACACCACGCCTCAGGGCGGTGCGTGCGGGTCAATGTTTAACCAGCCGTGCCTATCGGTGGCAGGCAGCGGCTGCACGGGGGCACCCTTGGGTGCTGGTGGCGGCAGGGACCCGGTGACCCCCCCCCAAAAAAGCCCCCCACTGCGGCCCCCACCTCTTGTAAATCCCCCGGTGAGCAGCGTGCGGGGAGCTGGGCTGCGGAGGTGCCCTGCGGGGGAAACTGAGGCACGGGACCGGGATTGGGATTGGGAACCGGGGGGGGGTCCCCGCTCTGGGGGCTCGCTCCCACCCTGGACACATCCAGGGGAGCCCCCCCAAAAAAAAACAACAACCCTGGGGGGGCTGATGGCTGAGCCTGCCCACCCCCGGGGGGCTCAGGGGTTTGGGGATGGTTTTGGGGGGCAGCGTGCGGCCGGGCTCCGCTTCGCCCCCATAAAATCGTGGCCGGGGCTGCTGCGGGTGCTGGGGGGGCTGGAGCTGCTGGGGGGGGGGGCAGCCTTCACCTGCAGTCTGTGCTGACATCCAGCAGGACTACAGGGGCGAGCTGCTCCTCGGGGGGGTCCCGGGGGGTGGTTACGGGGGGCCGCTGACCCCTTTTGTGCTGGGGGGGGTCGCCCTGGGCTGGCTGCTGACGGCGGCGCTGCTGGGGCTGGGGGCGACCCCCCATTACCACCGCGTCCTCCTGGAGGCACCTTGGTGGCCCCCCACCGAGTCCGGCCTCAACGGGCTCCTGTTCCTGCTGTCCCTGGGGGCTGCGGGGGGCTACGTCCACACCGTCAGCCTGGGGGGGCTCTGCTATTCCCCCCCTTTGGCCGGCGACCCCCTCCTCGCCGTTTTCTGCCGCCCGGCCGGGGGGCAAGCGGCCGCCCTCGTCTTCCTCTTCCTCATGGCGCTGCTCTACCTGGCCGGCAGCCTCGTGGCCATCAAGATGTGGAGGCACGAGGTGGGCCGGAGGCGGCGGGAGGCTCCCGTGAGTCCCTTGGTCACCAGGAGTTTTTTTTTTGGGGGGGGGCAGCCAACGGTGGGGTCCTCACCCCCACCCCCCCCTTCTCCAATTCCTCTTTGTGTCTCGAAGTCTCCACCGGTCCGAACCAAGCGCGTCACCTTCGAGGATGAGGTGGGACCCCCGGGGAGACCCCTGGGGGGGGACACAGCCACCGAGGGGGGTGAGAGGCCGGGGGTCTTCACCATGCTCCAACCCCCCCGTGCTCGTGCCGCGGCCGTGCGCTGTCCCGGATTACGTGGTGTGAGTGAGGGGACGGCTACGGGATGGGGACCCCCCGGAGGGGTCCGGAGCCCCCCGGTGCCTCCGTGCTGGGGCACCAACCCGGAGCAAGGGACCCCCCCCCTGAGCTTTGTACCCCCCCCCGGGGCTGTACAGAAAGTACCCGGCGATCCGCAGCGGGCGGCAGCGGGAGGGGTACCGGGCTGTGTTCTGCGACCAGCACGCCGAGTACCGGGAGCTGCTGGGAGAGGTGCGGGAGGCACGGAGGAGGCTGGGGGAGCTGGAGGCCGCCGCGCGCCACGCGCTCAGCAGGACGGTGGGTGTCCCATCAGTGTCCCATCGGTGTCCCCTAGGTGTCCCATGGGTGTCTTATAAGTGTCCCGTGGGTGTCCCATCAGTGTCCCAATGGTGTCCAATAGGTGTCCCCTAGGTGTCCTGTGGGTGTCCCATGGGTGTCTCGTGGGTGTTCCATGGGTGTCCCAATGGTGTCCTGTGGGTTTCCCATGGGTGTCCCATAGGTGTCCTATGGGTGTCCCAATGGTGTCCCATGGGTGTCCCGTGGGAGTCCCATTGGTGTCCCATGAGTGTCCCAATGGTGTCCCATGGGTGTCCCGTAAGTGTCCCATGGGTGTCCCATAAGTGTCTCGTGGGTGTCCCATAGGTGTCCCGTGAGTGTCCCATAAGTGTCCCATGAGTGTCCCATGGGTGTCCCATAGGTGTCCCGTGGGTTTCCCATGGGTGTCCCGTGAGTGTCCCAATGGTGTCCCATGGTTGTCCCATAAGTGTCCCATAAGTGTTCCATGGGTGTTCCATAGGTGTTCCATGGGTGTCCTGTGTGTGTCCCATAGGTGTCCCGTGGGTGTCCCATGGGTGTCCCATAGGTGTCCCGTGGGTGTTCTTTGGGTGTCCCGTGGGTGTCCCCTAGGTGTCCCATGGGTGTCTCATGGGTTTCCCATGGGTGTCCCATGGGTGTCCTATAGGTGTCCCGTGGGTTTCCCATAGGTGTCCCAATGGTGTCCTGTGTTTGTCCCATAGGTGTCCCATGGGTGTCCCATGGGTTTCCCGTGGGTGTCCCAATGGTGTTCTGTGGGTTTCCCGTGGGTGTCCCGTGGGTGTCCCATAAGTGTCCCATGGATGTCCCGTGGTTGTCCCATGGGTGTCCCATGGGTGTCCCAAGCAGGCAGGGCTCAGCTTTGGGGCCGTGCCAGCAGGGCTGGGGATATCGGGCTGCCTCTTCTCACCCCACAGGGGGACAGCGGGGTGGCTCGTGTCTGGCACGAGGTCCTGAGGAAGAAGAGGGTGAGTAGGGCTCGGGGTTCGTGCACCCGGAGCCACACTGGGGGTGCTGCGAGCTTCCCAGCCCTCAAAGAGCTGTTGGGGGGGGGTCCCGGGTATCTCGAATCCCACCGGCAGGATTCGGCCTTCCTGGAGAAGCAGCGGCGCTGCCGCTACCTGCAGGAGAAGCTGAGGCACATCAAGAGGCAGATCCAGGACTATGACCGTGGTGGCACCGTCTACTTCTGAGCCTGCTCACGGGGGGGACCCCAAACCCCGGGGACCCCGCAGGGCTCAGCACCTTGGGGTGCCGGTGCTGCGGGGGCGAGCAGGGGGCACCCGCTGCGCCCCACACGTTGCACCCATCTGGGTATGGGGAGCAAACCTGCGGGTTTTGGGGTGCTTCTGGTGGCTCTGCACCTGCTGTGGATTCGGGAGCACCCCCAGGGGTGCAGCTGTGGGGGGGGGCAGAGCTGCTTTTAATAAAATCTGGTGATGTTTTTTTGGGGGTCTTCAGTGCGCTGTCCTGGGGTGCCCACGGATGATGGAGGTGGGTGGGCTCCAGCAGCTGGCAACCCCCCCAGGGACACTGCTGTCCCCTGGGATAACGAAAGGAGCCCTCGGTGCCCAACAGGACCCCCCCGTGCCACGGCTCCGGAGCGGGGGGGACACGGCCCTGGCCTCTTTGCGCCCCCCCAGCCCCCAGGGACCCCGAGCCCCCTCCAGCCCCCTCTTTTCTCACTCCACGTGTGAGCTCCCCAAAGCCCCCCCCAAAATCCCCGGAGCCCCCGAGCCCCCGCCGCCACCTCCCCACGGGCGGGGGCCGGGCGGGAGCAGCGGGGCCGCCCCCGGGGCTCCCCCCGGAGGCGGAAACCGGGGCCGGTTCCCTGCAGCGCCCGGCGGCGGCGGTGCCGCTGCTCCCGGCTGCCATTTTACGGGAACAAAGAGGCGGAGGAGCGGCCAGGTAAGGGGCTCCGGGACAAGGAGCGGGGGGGCAGGGGGGTGTCCCGGGGGCTCGTTCCCCTCCGCGCACCGGGGGGGGCTCAGGGAACCCCGGTGAGCTCCGTCGGGACCGGAGCGAGCGCGCACGGTTCCCTCCGCGCACCGGGCAGGTGGGAGGCGGCGGCGGCTCCTCCCGGGGCTCCGCGGGAGGTTGGGGGGTGAAGGGGTGGGGGGGCAGACCCCGGGCCCCCCCACCTTCAAAAAATTAACAAAAAATCCCCAAAAACAGCGCGGGGACGGCGCTGCCCCCGTCGGGACGCGGACCCCGGGGTTGCGCCCCGGTGGCGGGGAGGGGGCGCGGGAGCCCCGGGTGGGGTGGAGCCGCCCCGGCGCGGAATGGGGGGGTCCCTGGGGGGGCTTTGCAGCTCCCCTTGCTGCTGGGTCTTCCCCCCACGCCATCCCCGGGGCTTTTGGGGATGCGCAGAGCTGGGGGCAGAGTGGAGATACCCAAAAAGAAAGCCGCGGGCACCCCCGGGAGGTCCGCGCTGGGGTCTGGCCGAAGCCCCTGGTTTGGGACCACCGTTTTTGGGGGTGTGGGGACGAAGCCCCCCGCCCCCAGCTGGGCCCGGACACCCCGGCCCCGCTGCCACCTGCCCCCGGCTTGGGTTTCCCACGCAGGGTTCAGGTTCCCCCTCGCTGCATCCCGCTCCGGCGATGCCCGCCGGGGGGGTCCCCGCTGAGCTTTTGGGGTTTTGCCTTTGTGGGGTGGAGAAGGGGGGGCTCTGTGCAGCCCGGGGGGTGGTGGAGCAGCGCCAGGAGCTCGGTGGGCTTCGCAGAGCCCCTGCTTTGCCCCCCACCCCAGCCCCCTCGGAGGGGCTCCCCCCCCTTCCAGTGGCAGCAGTCCTGGCATTTCTCCCTGGCCCTACAAACCCCTCCCGGCGGTGGTTTGGCTCGGAGCGAACTTGTGGGAAAGCAAAACCAGAAGGTGTTTTGGAGAGGCCAACCAGCACGCAGGAGGGCAGGAACATGAAGCAGGGAGCGAACTGCAGGGCTGGGGGGGGGCCCTGTTGGGGTGGGGGTCCCGGGCAGGGGGCACCTGGCTCCGCGTGGCAGCTCTCCAGCCCTGGCAGCGAGGAAACGCGTCACCCCCCCCTTTGATCTGCCCCAATTTCCAGCTTTTCACTGCGGTGTTGTTAATGTGCCCTGGATTATTATTATTAATTATTATTTTTTAAATCCAAGCCAGAGCTGCTTACGGAAAAACCCTCAGGGTTAGCGCTAGCCTCGGGGAAGAGCTTTTCTGCCTTAATTAGGGTTTGAAACAATCCAATTCATTCAGGCGCCCGCGGTCGGTCGGGTGGCCGGGGCCTGGCAGCGCGGGGTCCCCGACGCGGGGCAGGGCTGGCTGTGCGGGGAGATGCCCCCGTGACTCACTCGCCTCCCTTCTCCACCCCACGCCTCAGTTTCCCCGTGAGCAGAGGTGACTCCCGTGGCGTGGCGTGGCGTCGGGCACGGGCGGGCGCTTGTTTACGGTGACAGGAGACCAAAGTCCCCACCGGGCGCGCGGAGACGTGGAAACCCGGACGGTGCCGCGCGCGCCCGCAGCTCCAACCTCCTATCCCCCCCCCAAACCTCCCCAGGCTCTCCCCACCGCCACCATGTTCAGCAAGAAGTCCTACGACGGCCCCCCCATGAGTTACGGCCCCTCCACGGGCTACGGACCCCCGCCGGGTGATTACGGCTACGACTACGGCGCCCGCTCGCCCCCGCCGGGCTCCTACTACATCGAGGATGCGCCGCAGCACTTCTACAAGTGGAGCTCGCCGCCCGGCGTGGTGAGGATCCTGGAGGCCATCATCATCATGCTCTGCATCGCCATCTTCGCCTGCGTGGCTTCCACCCTCGCCTGGGACTACGGCTACGGTTTGGGGGCTTTCGGAAGCGGGCTGGGCGGCTACTACGGCTCCGGCTACTACGGCAGCGGGCTGGGCTACAACTACGGGTACGGGGGCTACTACAGCGGGGTCACCAACCCGCGGACGGCCAACGGCTTCATGATAGGCATGGCCGTGCTCTGCTTCCTGGCCCAGTTGGGGCTGCTGGTGGCCAGCATCAGCAAGTCGAGCGGCTCGCGCTCCCGCCGCTTCTACCTGGTGGTCATCGTGGTGTGCGCCGTGCTGGCCTTCGTCATGCTCATCGCCTCCATCGTCTACGTCGTGGGGGTCAACCCCCAGGCGCAGATGACCGGCGGCTACTACTACAGCCCCTTGCTGGCCATGTGCAGCCAGGTGTACAGCAGCAGCACTTACCTCAACCAGTACATCTACCACTACTGCACCGTGGACCCCCAGGAGGTGAGTGTGTCCCCCCCGCCACCTCCGGAACGCCCCCGGTTTTTGGGTCAAAGCCCAAGGTTGTGAGGCTGAGCGAGGTCAGCGCCGCTTATCGCAGCCGGGTGCGGGAAGGAGAGGGTCTGTAAGTGCTCGTGCTGCCCTTGGGTCGGCTGGGAGACGCGGTGTCCTCAGCCAGCCTGGGACTTTCTGCTCCGTCCTTAATGTTTCGGGAAGCGCCGGGCACCGTTGGGTGCCGGGGAGGGTGCCGGTGCGACCGGCAGAGCTGGGGAGTTTCGGGGAGGGGACGCTCTGCTACCTGGTACTTTGGTCTCCCTGCTCGTAAAAGTGTTTGAGCGAGCCTGGCGTGCCTGCGGGGGGGGGAATTGGGGCAGCTCGTGGCAGCTGGGGTCAGTGGGGCAGGAGGCAGCGGGATCCCACGACCCAGGGCTCAGCTGCCCCAGGGTTTCGGCTGGGGCCAGTGGGGCTCCTGCGCGGCACTGGGGTGGAACTGGGATGGAACTGGTGCTGCCGGTTCCCGGCCGGCTGGGCTGGCCGTGCCGCATTCCTGCGCCCTGAGCGCAGGCTGAGCGGGGGGAGCCGCGGGCTGCAGGGCTCAGCGGGGCCCTGATCTGTCCCTGCTCGGCCCCAAATTCTGTGCAGCTGCGTGATCTGGCTCGTGGGAACGCAGAGGCACCCCCACGGGCAGGGTCCCTGCTCTTGGGTTCAGGAGCTGGCTCGGGGCCCCAGGTGCCGGGGGGGGGTCACCTCCCTCTGAGCTGTGCTTGTCCCATCCCCACAAGAAAACCAAATCCTCTTCCACTGCTGGGGCTGGGCCAAAAGCTCTGCAAAGCCCAGTGAGCTCCGGGCAGAGGGTGTCCCACCGCCCATCCAAAATTGGGGGGTGTTTGGGAGGAGGGGGGGGAGCGCTTCCCATTCAGCCTCAGGGAGGGGTTGGGTAACCAGACCCCCGCTCTGCCCGGACGGGGGCTTCCCAGAGCCTGTCCCCCCCCCTCACTCTCCTCCCTCCCTCCCTCTCCTCCAGGCCGTGGCCATCGTCTGCGGCTTCCTCATCGTCCTCTTGCTCTGCCTCATCTGCTTCTTTCGCCCACAAGACGCGGAGCAAGATTTGGAAATACGGCAAGGCCAACATCTTCTGGGACAAGGCACCGGTGCTGCAGGAGGGCCCCAACGTGGAGGAGTGGGTGAGTCCCGGGGGGGGCTGCTCCTGGCACTCAGCTGTGCCAAAATGTCCCCGTCTCCAGCCCAGCCTCGTGCCAGGAGCCTCATTCTGCCCGCACCTCGCCGCGGTGTTTGCACACCCCAAACCCTGCAGCCTGGAGCTCCCGGGGCGCGCCGTTATCACCGATAGCGCCAGGCAGCGCCCGGAACCGTGAGGTCCCTCCCTGTCACCCCCCTTTATTTTTTATTTTTTTTTTGGCTTTTTCCACCCGGTTCCGTGCCCCTGCACCACGATGCTTTGGGAACGGAGCGGGGCTGGGCGAGCTCGACCTCCCTGAAAGACAAACAGGGTCGGATCAGATGGGCCGGGTGCCAGCAGCGCAGCGCCGAGGCTTCGCGCCCTCTCCCCTTTGTTCGCCCAGCTCCTGCCAGCGCTGGCCGCCGACACGATTCGGTTTCGGTCTCGTCAATCATTAACTCGGCTCCGGGAACGTGGCTCTGGGCTGTGCCACCCAGCCGTGGTCTGGCTCTGTCCCACCAGCCCGGCTCCGTGCGCGCCGTGACGCCCCGGTGTCCCCTGGGTGCTGGGGGCTGCACCCAGGGAGGGCAGGGAAGGGCCCTGGGGTGCCCCGGCTGCTCCAGGGCTTCGATGCAGGGCTGGGAAATGTGCCCACGTCCTTCAGCACGGCTCCTGGGTGCTGCTGTGCCCTGGATAAGGAGATTCTGACCCCATCCCTGTCCCTGTCCCCATCCCCGTCCCTGTCCCCACCACACTGGGGCGGCCCAGATGGCTGCCTTGGGGTGCCCAGGTATTGGGGTGCCAAGGAACGGGGCTGTCCCCCCCCATGGGACGAGAATTAGCTCACATTGCTCTGACCCATTCCCTGCCACCCCAGAGCCCAGCAAAGCGCTCGGTTTCAAACCCTCAGCCCGGCTCCTTGTGCGCGTACGCACCCCTCGGTGTGTGTACATCTAATATTTGTTTTTCTTTTTGCAAAAACACCTTTGTTCTGGTTTATTTATTTTTGTTAAAAGTCCCTCCCTTGCTAAGCATTTCCTGGCCCGCAGCAGGGCCGGCCCGGCTTGGGGGCAGCCCCTGCACCCCCAGCGGTGTCCCCAGCTCCGCCTGGTGTCCCTTGGTGGCACCTGCCAAGCTTTTTGGGGACAGCTGTGCAAGGGCAGTATCGATGTGTCAGGGTGTGAAGCCATCCCCGGGACATCTCCTTCCCACTTTATGGTTGAGGCTGAGATAAAGAGGTGACCTTCGAGTGGGCGTGAGCCTCCGGCTCCGTCCTGGCGTGGCACGGGGACGTGTCCGTCTCACCTGGGGGCAGGAGGGGCCCTCGCCTGACGGAGTCTTTGTTAGTGGGGGAAAAAGCAGCGGAGAGGAAGCTGCTTTGCCGGCCGGACTTCTCAGTTGACGTCCCCTGGGCCACCACCTCGGCCCCCGGCAGGGACCGGCTTCCGTCCCGGCACAAACAACCCACAAAGGGCAGGAAGGAAGGCGGGGGACGGGATGGGACATCTGCCCAGCCAGCCCCACGTCCTCCCCCAGGAGCCCCGTGCAGCCGGGGCAAACGTCCCCTACATGGGCAGTGAGCACATGGGGGGGACAATGAGGGACCCAGCAGATCCGGGGGGGCTGTCACCTGGGGGTGCAGGAGGGATGCTGGGCACCCCCCGGCACGCGTGCACCTGTGCCGGAGCGCCCACGGTGGCTCCGTGCGGGGCAGTGCCACCTGCTGTGGGGTCCATGGGCACGTCCTACCCCCAAAATACTGCTGCTCCTGCTTGGGGGGGCTCCCCCAGTCCTTGCCTCCCCCCCAGCAGGACATCATTCTGCAGCTCTGCTGGGTCCCCTCCCTATCAGCACCCCAAGCCGGGTCGCAGCGGTCGCACCGGGGTTTCTCCGGCCACGCGGGACGGTGCCAGCGTCCCCGGTGCCCCCGGTGCCACCGCCCCCCCTCTGAGCACCTCTCGCTGCTCGCAGGTGAAGAACGTGGCAGACGGGGCCAGCGTGCAGGACGAGACGGCCACGCTCGCCTACTCGGAGAAGCCCACCAGCCCCATCAACGCGCCGCCCTACAGCGCGCCCTCCTACAGCTACGCGCCCCCCAACACCGCCTACTACCCCTCCGGGACCTACAGCAGCCGGGGGTGAGCTGGGGGGCCACTGCCAGCTGGGGGGTGTCAGGGGCATCAGTTCACACCATGCTGATGTCCCCGTGTCCCCGCAGTGACCAGCCGGACCGTGCCACCAGCACCAGCCCCGTGGAGGAGAAGGGGAAGGAGGTGCCCAGCAAAGCGCCTGTACGGCGCGGCCGCAGGCGGCGGCGCAACCCCGAGCTGGACGAGTCGCAGTACGAGACCGACTACACCACGGCCGTGGAGTCCAGCGACGAGCGGGACCAGGACCAGTGGGCCAGGTGAGGGGGGAGCCTCGTGGGGGTCCCCCCAGCCCGTAGCTGACCCCCTGCGTGCCCTGACCCTGCCCCTGTCCCTGTCCCGCAGCCTCTACCCCCCCATCGCATCGGACGGTGCCCGCCAGAAGTACAAGCAGGAATTCGACACCGACCTCAAGCGCTACAAGCAGCTCTGCGCCGAGATGGACGGCGTCAACGACCGCCTCAACCAGCTCAGCAAGGAGCTCGACAGCATCTCCGAGGACAGCCCCCAGTACCAGGTATGGGCTCGGGGGTGGGAGGGGCGCCTTGGGGCAGCAGGGATGCCCTGGAGCTTTTGGGGATGCTGCAGGTACTGGGGATGATGCGGAGCTTTTGGGGTGCCGGAGGGCACTGGGGAGGGCGCATAACTTTGGGGATGCTGCAGGGCACTGGGGAGGGCGCATAGCTTTTGGGGGGGTGCACAGCTTTTGGGGAGGGCGCACAGCTTTTGGGGAGGGCGCATAGCTTTTGGGGAGGACGCACAGCTTTTGGGGAGGGCGCACAGCTTTTGGGGAGGACGCACAGCTTTTGGGGAGGGCGCACAGCTTTTGGGGAGGGCGCACAGCTTTTGGTGATGCTACAGGGCACCGGGGGTGTTGCATAGCTTTGGGGATGCCAGCTGGTGCTGCGGGGCACTGGGGAGCACTTGTCCGTGCAGGGCACCCCCCCTCGGGGCTTCTCATAACCCCCGTTTCCTTTGCAGGATGTGGCAGAGGAATACAACCAGCTGAAGGACTTGAAGCGGGTGAGTGCGCAGAGCCCGGGAGCTCTCCGTTCCCACACCCCGCTTGAAATTGGGTTACTCTGGGGGAGGGCAAAAAAAAAAAAAAGGCACTGCAGGGATGTGCCGGGGGATATCAGGGCAGGCGGTGCTCACCGGGGGTCTGCTCCTTCTCCTCCATCCCCACCCAACCCTGTGAGGGGGGGTCAGGCTCGGTGCTGCCCCCCCCCAAAGCAGCCCCAGCCCGTGGGCGCTGACATCCTGCCCTCGTGCTGCCTTTCAGAGCCCCGACTACCAGACCAAGAAGATGGAGACCAAGGCGCTGCGCAACAAACTCTTCCACATCAAGCGCATGGTGAGCGACTACGACAAGGTGCGGGGTTAACCCGCACCACCCCAGGATGCGTGCCGGGGGGGGGGCACCACCAGCACCGCAGACTCCTACCTATGCATTTTGTACCTTTTTGTAAAAAAAAAAAAAACCAAAACCATCCAAAGCGACCCCTGGGCATCGTCCCCAGCCACTGTGAATACCCCCGAGTGCCTTCGCTGGGTGCAGTGCTGGAGGGGTTGTTCCCCCTCCTTGTGCTGTAAATATGTTTGGGGGGGGGGTCCTGAGCACCCGTCCCCTGGCCTGGGGAGGTCTGAGGAAGCCCCACACCGCTGGGAAGGGCTGGGGGCTGGAGCGGGGTCAGCACCGGCCCCGGGGCACCTCGGGGTGCCAAAATGTGGCGCCAGCACCCAGGGCAGGATCGTGGTGTGAAGGCAGAGCCCCCCCCCCAGGCAGCTGCTAGGCGGGGGCGAGATTTTGTAAGGAACTGGCTGAAACTGTGTAATTTTTACCGTTGTTTGTTTAAATAAACTGTATCTGTTGATTTTAAGTCAGGACCCCCAGACCAGGTACAACCCTCCCCTTCCACGTGTGCGGGGGGGTTTACTCGCCCCGAGGAAGCTTTGGGGTGAAAAACAGCAGTTTTGGGGCTTAATTCACTGCTCGACACCACCTCCCCACCACCCTGGGGGGTTCAGCATCCCCCCCCGTCCAGCACAGCCCCCGGCGTTGTAAGAAACATCTTTATTGACTTCCGTTAATTTGTGTAGTATCATTGAACAAGGATTATATTTTTCAGTGAAATCAACCTAAATGACAACGCCCCCCCCCCGCCTAAAATCCTGCCTCCCTCTGCACAGCACGTACCCCTGAGAAGCAGAGCCTCGCTGCGAGGACCTGGGCGGGGGACGGGGACATCCCCCCCGGCCCCATTTTGTGTGTGTCCCCCCCCCTAGTGCCCAGTGCCACCGCTTTCCAGACTGATTTTTGGTTCTCCCCCCCAACCCCTTTTCTCACCTGGTCCTGGCTTAAAAATGAGGCACGGGAATAGAGCGAGCATGGGAGGGGGGATGCCCACATCCATCTGTGTCCCCCCCCCCAACCCTAAATCCATTGGGGGGGGTTGAGGCAAAGCACCAAGCAAGCAAGCAGCAGCAGGGAAGGGAAGGCGCTGGAGTGACCCGGGGGGGGGGTGAGGAAGGGGCTGGGTTGGGTGCAGAGCACCCAAGAAGGACACCTGTAATTGCACCCACATCGTGCATGGCGCTGGACCCCCCCTCTCCAGCCCCCCCCATGTCGCCCACCCTGCACCCCGGTGTTGGAGATGCTTCAGTGGAAAATGCGGGGCTGGAGGGGGGGGGGAGCCTGGCCCCAAAAGGGCTGCTCCGAGGTCGGCGCTTCAGTCCTCGAGGCCAGATCTGTCCTGGGAGGGTGCAAAGGGGCTTGGAACGAGCCCCTACCCACGACGGGCAGGATTTTGGGGGGAGGGGGGCACATGCCAGGACCCCTCTGCGCAGCCCCCCCTGCTCCAAGGCTGCTTCCAGCTCCATCGCCTCCACCCCGACGCCCCCGATCCAGCTCGGGACTGGGCAGCAAGAGGCTGGCGGCTCCTTCCCCGGGCCTGGATCCTGCCCTACAGAGCCAGGACTGAGCCCTGGGGCTGCCCGGGGTCCTCCCTGCCCCTCAGGCGGCCAAATTCTGCTTTGCTTTTTTTGGAGGAAAAGTCCGGCGTCCGCCTGCCGCAAGGAGCGGTACCATTGGGGTCCCCGAGCACAACCCAGTGGCTTTCGGGGCTCACCCTGGGGGGAGCAACCCCCAGGAGGACGAGTCACAGGGGGAGGGGGGGCTCCAGCAGTTCAGGACCCCCAGGGACGGCACCGGCTGCGTCTCCGGAGAGAAATGGGGTTTGGCATCTCAGGGGGTGTCCGGGGCGTCCCCCATCGGGAGCATCCCTGTCTTTTTTTTTTTTTTTGTCCCCTACTGCCCCGTCCCGTAGGGCCAGTTGAAGGTGCTCCCGGACAGCAGCATGTCCCTGATTAGTGTTTCGATGGGCGTCTTCCCCACCAGCCTCATGAAGAAGAGCTGCGAGATGAGGGAGGCCGGCACGGCTCGCAGCGCCGGCAGCCGCAGCAGGAGGCGGCCGAAGCGCTGGGGCTGCGAGGGGTACTGCGAGCGCACGTACTCCGTCAGGGCCACCTGAGCCTTCTCTTGCAGGCTCTCCACGTGCGCCGGGTCCGAGAGGCCGCAGGCATCTGCGGGGGGAATGGAGAGGGGTTAGGGGAGGGCGCTGTGGTCGGAGACCCCCACCCTGCATCCCCACAGGACCCCCTGCCCGTCCCCATCGGCACCCAGCTCGACGCAGAGCCCCTCACCTGCACCCACCCGAAATGAGGGCACCTCATTGGGATGGGGGCTGCCCCGTCCCAAAGCCATGCTCCACGTGGGGATTGCTCCAAATTTTGCTGCAGGGCTGCAGCTGCTACACGGAGCACGGTGAGCACGCACGGAGCAGCCGATGGGGGGCTCCCCACGCCCGGCAGCGCATGGGGAGATTCGTTTTCCTCATCCCCATCACCCCAGGGAAGCTCAGCCCCTCACGAGAAGGACGAGCCAGGATGCTTCAAACCACAGCAGAGAGGTGCTGAGGGTGCAAGGTCCCCCCCCTGATGCTCCCTGGTCCCCAAATCCTGATGGAGACGGGACGCAGGCGCTCCCAGCGGGCTCACGGCTGCGCGGGGCGGCCGCGGGGCTCGACCTACCCGGCGTGAAGAGCGCGATGGCTTTGAGGCAGCTGTACTCGGCCGAGTCCACCTGCAGCCGGTTGAGCTTCTCCACCTGGTCCTGGAAGATGCGGATCTGGTCCATGAAGGAGACGACGCGGTCGGCGGACATGGGGGAGGCGTGGAAACCGGCGGCGGCCAGCAGCGGGGCCATGTGCAGCGGCAGCGCCGACTGCGCCGCGTTGAGCACGAAGAGCTCGCTCCAGCTGAGCCGCAGCAGGGCCACCTGGTCCGAGACGGGCAGCTCGGGGAAGAAGGGGATGTTGCGAGCCCACTCCACCGTGCTGAAGAGGAGGCGGGCGGCCAGCTCGCAGATGTTGTCGATGCCCATCACGCTGCCCTGCTGCGCGTACTGCGAGCCGTAGCGGGCGGCCGGGTAGGGCTCAGCCCGCAGCAGCTGCGAGATGAGCTCGGACACCGGCTGCCCGTTGAAGTATTCCCCGCTGGGCATGGTGTTGGGGCTGGTGCTGGAGTGCGTGGGGGGGATCCGGCCCCGCTGCACGGCTGAGGGGGAAGCAGAGGGGGGGTCTGACCACGCTGTGCATCCCGCATCCAGCTTCACCCCATCCCTACCCGGCTCCCGGGGGACCCGTGGGTGCGCCCTGCCCTGCGCAGGGCCGGATCCTGGCACCTCCTGCCCTCAGCCCCGGGCACAACGGGCGGCTTTCAGGCGCTGCAGGAGAGGGAGGCGGCGCGTGCGAGCTGCTGCTCTCATTTATTCAGCACCCCAGAGCTCCACCAGCAGCTCCTTGGCCACGGCCTCCGAGCAGCAGCAGGGCTGGGAAAGCGCCACCGCCCGACCCCGTGCCAGGACCTGGCTCTGGCTGTGCCATGCCCAAGCGGGTGCCTCACCAGCACTGTGGCCCCCCCACACCGGCTGCGGCGGCGCAGGGCGCTTGCTGCCCAAGGTCATTGCATGGCAGCAATCATTTATTTGCAAATAAAACGTCCATCTTGGAAGCGTCGTTAACCCCGGGGCACTCCCCCTCCTAATTGCGTGCAGGGAGAGCCATTTTTCAGCTCCCCCCCTCTCCCATTAGCGCCCACTATTTGCTCAGTCCCTAGTAATTAATTTATGGGCTGTTCATGAGCCACTTAAATGAGAGCTCTAAATCATGCTAAGTGGCAATAATGCCATCTCGACTCCTCTGGAAAGGAGGGAATTACTGTCCTGCTTCCAGTACCCTTCTCCCTGCTCCTTGCGTTAATGCCACCTGCCGCTGAGCAGCCCCAGCACTGCACCGAGCCCCAGCTCGTGCCAGCACCAGGGACACAGCCCCCCAAGGGTGCACAGCCAGGGCTCAGCACCCTCCAACCCAGCCTGGACCGCTGAAGCCCAGGGGACACGCGGCACCGTGGGTGACGGCAACCCTGAGCTCGCCCCAGGCACGTGCGTGCCACCCTGCTGCTGGCTCTGCTTTGAGCTGAAATCCTTCAATTTCAGGACAGCTCCACCCGCAGCAGCCCGGGGGGTGTTTGGCCCAAGCCAAGCGGCCGTGCAGCTCTGGCCCCAGCTGCAGCAGTGCCGTTCCCAGCCGACCTCCACCACGCCTGGGGCGCGCGCGGCGGGGTGGCTCCAGGTGTGTCACCTTATCAGCTCGCGCAGCTTTCCAAACAAACACCACCTGCTCCGCTGGCCCCGAGGGCAAAAAAAGGAGGAAAAAGGGGCAAAAGAGAGAGGCCTGGCCCCTGGCTGACGCTGCAAACAGGGCGAGAGGTTTTTGGAGAGCTGGGCGAGCGCCCGGTGAAGCGGCACGGGGCTGGTGGCCCAGGTGGGTGCTGTCCCCGTCCCCGTCCCCGCGGTGCCGGCGTTACCTTCCTTCCTCATCCCCACGCGGAAGCACTTCTTCAGGCGGCAGTACTGGCATTGGTTGCGGTGGTGCTGGTCGATCTGGCAGTCGCGGTTGGACCTGCAGGGAGGACAGGGCAGACGTGGCACCGGGCAGCACCGTGACGCCCCTCGCCGGGCTCCTCCGCCACCGCGCCACCGCGCCGGTGCCCTCGGGCACGGCCCCGCAGCCTCCTCCCGGTGCCACGCCGCCCCTGTGCACACACTCACACACACACACTCACACACTCACCCGCACGCAGATGCTATGGTAACAGAGACCGCGAGCTATTTCCAACAGCAAGGGCTGAGGATTTGTGTTTCCAGCAATGCCCAGGGGTTTGGGAAAGCCGCAGAAGCCCCCGCGGCGCGGGAGGAGCTCCGCAGAGGGAAGAGAAGCGCGAGGCTGGGGGGCTGGGGGCTCCCACCCCCCGGTGATGCCCCCATCACGAGGCAGCTGGCTGGAGGCAGGAGTGGCCCCGGCCGTGCGAGGAATTCCAACTATTTCCTACGGAGCTGCAGGACTGGGCTGCCCCTGCGGGCACGGCTGCTGTGGGGCCGGGTCCTGGGGGCCACCGCTCTGCGCCGGCCACGGGGATGCTCCCCAGTGCTCCCCGAGCAGCCTCGGAGCCTGCAATGGGGTCAGTGCTGGCCCCCCTGGAAATAAATCCTCACCCCGGGCCCTGAACCACGCAGTGGGTTTGCTTGGGCATCGCCAGGGTGAAATTGGGGTAAAAGGGCAGAAAGCTGGGCTGGGCCAGGCTGCCAGGGACATTCCCAAAGCATCGCCGGCGGCTCAGCCCCGTGGCCCTGATCCCAGTGGCCAAGGACCACAGCAGGGCGTGGGTGACAGCGGGCGCTCACGTCCCACCCAGCGGCCGTCGTGGTTTTCGAGGAGGAAAAGGGGTTATTGATGAATCGGCGATAAAATTAAGCCGTGTGAAGCGAGGGGCAGGAAGGCGCAGGCCGTGCCGCGGGCCGGCAGCAGCTCGGCTCTGCCTGGGAGCCCCGACACGAACATCCTCATTCCGACACGACTCCGGAGGAGAGGCACGCAGGGATTCCCGCGGCGCTCAAACCGGAATTAATTCGCCCTGAACATCACCACTGCGCTTAACACATTCCGAACGCGCTGCTGATAAAAGTTCTTCCAGGGGAGCAGCGATCGCTCATCACAACGGCAGGTTACATCTTCATCAGCCAGGCGCCGGGCACCGCGGCCGACCCTCCCCAGGGCCAGCGCGGCGGGGGCACGCCTGATCGGTCCCCCCCCCCAGCCCCACAAAAACCCAAAATAGCCTCGGCTAACGCCGGCGGCTCGTAGCGAGTTTCCCAACCGATCCGCTGCAGCGACCTGGGAAACTGTGAGAACACAAAAGGCGTATACTGTGCTAATTATGTAATTAGAACATGTAATTATTTAGTGCAAGAACTAAACTGAATCCAACTCACTTTTAATATTCAAATTAGAGCAATCTTGGCTCGCTGCTGCTTTTGACTCCTTCCACAAAGCAGATGCCAGGGCTGCCACAGGAGAGCATTGTTCCCTGCCCCTTCAATAGTTGCTGCGCACTTGGAAAACTCCCGACCCTCCGCTGCAGCACCCAGCCGGGGGCCAGACCCCACCTGCAGCAGGCGACCAGCACGGGGCGAGGGCTGGGCTGCTCCCAGCACCTCAGGGTGCTGCGCCCTGCACCCCGAGGTGCACCTGGGACGCAGCCCTCCTGCCCTGGGGAGCCCTGATTTTGCGCCTCCTTTGTTTCCCCTGAAATTGGGGAGCTGGCGTTTCTCATAAAGCCATCCGTGTGCCCCGTTTCCAAACACCTCATCCCATGCGGCAGCTCGTGACGGAGGAATCGGGCACCTCTCGTCCTGCCGATCAGCTGGGGAAACTGAGGCAGCGCCGGGGAGGATGCGCGCACCGTTCTGTGGGTGCCACGCCACCGGTGCCGGAGCAGGGATGTGGGGGAGGACGAATCTAGGCCGCCCAAATGAGAGCGAGGAGGCTCGGAGACGGCCACCGCCGCGGGAGCACCGCTGCCCTGCTCCTTTCGGTGCCATCCCAGCACCGTGCGGCGAAGGTCGGAGCCGGCAGCCCCTCGGGTGGGGAGAAAGCGGGGCACCCATGGGGTGCCGTCCTCTCCGCATCCACCTGGGTCAGCAAACACCGCTGGAAGCACCCGCACGTGCCGCGGGGTCCTGCCCTGTGCGTGCGCCCCGTGCGCACGGTTGTGCTGCCAAAAACCCCAATCCCCGTCCCGGCAGCCCTGCGCATCCACGAGCCCACCGGGAGCTCTGGAGTTATCTCCAGCTCCCAACTTCGCGTGGGCTGAGGGGCTCGTCCAGGATCACAGCCCCTGGGCCCGGCACCATCATTTCACAAGGGCAGCGCAGGATCAGCGCCCTGCAGCGCGCCAGGCCCTCGACACCTCCGGATAAAATTATCCCCTGGTGCTGTTCTCAGGGTAGCGCGGCCGTGCCCGGGCTGACTCACACGCAGCCTCGGCGCATTTTCAGGCTGAAATGGCAATTAATGCTGGAGCAGAGCCGGGCGGTGACGACGACCCGCTCTGCCACCGGCTCTGGGGACGGAGCGGGCAGCGACACCCATCCCTGGGGGGGGGGGGCTGGGGGTGCTTCTATGGGGTGCGGAGCGCGGGAGGACCCCGCGATGCAGCGGGGCCAGAACGGGGCCACTGCACGGCCACAGCGGGGCCACCAGCAGCGCGGCACGGGGGTGGTGGAGCAGCCATCACCGAGATGCACCGGGGCCACCGCACAGCCACAGCGGGGCCACCGCCGAGCTGCACCGGGGCCAGTGCCGAGCTGCACCAGGGCCACCACCGAGCCATACTGGGGCCACCTCTGAGCCATACTGGGACCACCACCGAGCCATACTGGGGCCAGCCTCTGAGCTGCACCAGGGGCCACCTCCAAGCCCCAGCGTGGCCACCGCCGAGCCGCAGCGGTGCCACCGCTCGTGCCAGCGAGCGCACCACGGCGCAACCACCCTGGAAAAGGGGTGAGGGTCCCCCCCAGCCCCCTCCCCAGCCCCTACCTGCAGGTGTAGCTGAGGTTCCTGCGGATGCTGCGCTTGAAGAAGCTCTTGCAGCCCTCGCAGGTGAAGACGCCGTAGTGCTTGCCGCTCGACTTGTCCCCGCACACCACGCAGTCCACGGGCGCCCCGGCCCGCTCCTCCTCGCCGTGCTCCGCGTCGCTGCCGCCGCCCGCCGGGGACGCCGCCTCCTCCCCGCCGCCGCCGCCGCCGCCGCCGTTGGGCTCGCCCCAGCCGCCGGCCACCATGGCCATGGCTCCGCGGCCCCGGGGGCTCAGCACCGGCCCCGCCGCCGCATGGAGCGAGTTGAGCAAGTTGCTTTTTTTTTCTTTTTTTTTGGTTATTTTTTTCCCTTTTTTTTTTTTTTTTTTTTTTTTTTCCTAGGGGGGGCAGGCGGATGGGGGCCGGTTCCCTATGGATATATTTTTTTTGGGGGGTTGTTTTGTTGTCTTGTTTTTTTTTTTTTTTTCTTCCCTCCCTACCCACCCCCCCCCTCCCCCCTACCCACCCACACACGCACTCCCGCAGCCCCGCTTCTTAACGGGGGGGCCCCGCGCAAACTTTGCGGCGGCGGGAGCGGGGCGCGGCGCCGCGCATCCCCCCCCCCACCTCTCCCCCCCACCGGCGGGGCTCAGCGGCTCCGGGCTCGGCGGCCCCCCCGGGGCTCCGCCGCATGCGGTGGGGGGGGCGCCGCCTCCTCCTCCTCCTCCTCCTCCTCCTCCTCCTCCCGCTGCCCGCTGCCCCCGCTCCGGCGGCTCCGCTCCTGCTCCGCGGCACCGGCAGGGATGGAGACGCCGCTTTCCCAGCCGGGCCCCCCCTGCCCCTACGGGCCCCGCCGCCGCCGCCGAGGCTGCATGCAGCCCGGTCCGGCGGGACCCGCTCCGCCGAGCCCCGGGCTCTCCCCGCCTCCCGCGAAAGAGCAAAGTTCAGCCGCTGCCGCGGTGGCCGCCCTGGATGCTCCTCCCCGTCCTCCTCCCCTTCCGCTCGCCGCCCGCCGGGTCCTGCCCCGCCAGCGCCCCCCCAAACCCTTTGCCGGTCACCCCCGGGTCCCCCCCCGTGCTCCGCTCCCGGTCCCGGGCACCGCCGGGTCCCCCCCGAGGTCCCCGCGCACGGAGCCGGCAGCGGAGCCGCAGCCGCGCAAGGGCGCACGGAGCCTGCCACGGATGTGGCCGTGCCACGCTGGAGGGGACACGTTTGTCCCCGGGGGGACAAGGGGGGGGCACGGGGGGGTGGCCTCCCCAGAGCCCTTCGCTGCCCTCCTTGGGGTTGAGGCTTGGCAGCGCCCGGCGCTGCTGCACCAAGCGGGGGGCGCGGGGACGCGCCGGAGCCCCCCGTGCTGCAGCCCGGCTCTCTGTCCCCATGCGCTGCCTGGTGCTGTGCCAGGACCCCCGGGGGGGTCACAAGGAGCTGGAGGCACCCTGGGGTGGATGCACCCTTGGGGACGGGCAGGATGGAGCCAAAACCCGCGGGCACGGCTCGGTCACGGGGCGGTGACACGGGGCAGGGCACGGGCACGGGGATGGGGTGCGGGGGCTCCGGTGGCATCGGGGGGGTCCTCGGGCACGAGCTGGCCTCGTGAAGCCCACAAAAGCCATTTGTGAGTTGGTTAATTAAGCCAGGCCTAGGTGGGCTCATCAGCTGGCCCAGTGAGGGTCGGGTGGGCCAGGGTGCCCGCAGCGCCCGCGTGCCGCCGCCCGGTTAATTATTAACGAAGGAATAAACTGTGTGGAAAGGTGGTTGACCCGGGAACAGCCCCGTGCTATCGCTGCGCCTTCGCCTTTCACCTTGGGGCCAAACTCTCCCGGTGATGCCACCGCGGTGGCCCCGGTGTCTCCCGGCACCTTTCACCTTGGCTTGGGGAGAAAGTCCATAGGGAAGGGCACGGGGCCGGGGGGGGGGGGGGGCTGCCCCCACGGGGGACCCCTAGGCAGGGCGAAGGGGTGGAGGTGGGGATGGGGTGGGGGGGACACGTGGGGAGGGCTGCGGGTGAGCGCTGCTGGCACCGCCGCGTGCCGCCGGCCTTGGCATTCCCAACCCATGCGCCGGGGCCGGCTCCTCGGTCGGGGTGGCTGCTGCTGCTGCTGAAGGGAAGGCGAAGCAAAAGCAGGCTGGAAAAGAAGGAAATAAATAAATAAAGCGGAGCGCTAAGGCCACGGAGCAGCAGAGGGAGATGGATTACAGCTCCGGCCATAAATAAAACCTCCATTTCCTCTTGTCTGGAGGGATCCGTGCTCACGCGGTACCTGCGAGCGCGGCTGTGCCGAGGTGCCCGGGAGCTCAGGCAGGGCAAGGGGGTGGCCACGGGCAGGGGGCGATGGCACGGGATTGAGGAGGGGAGGGCTGCTGAGCCCCACGGCCGGGCAGGATGGGGCCAGGCCGGGCTGGGGGCTGCTGCTGGGGGGTACTGGTGGGCAACGCCAGCCCCAGCCCGGCCGAGGGGGCGAAGCGGGGCGGTCGCCCCCACCTGCAGCCGGCCCCGCGGCTCCTTTCTCCTCTGTCAGGCTGTGATTTATGGCCCTTTCCCTGCCTCTCCCCCTCCTCCTCGCCCCCTGCAAAAAAAAAAAAAATAATAATCCAGGAACAAAGGAGGAAATTGGATCTTCTCCCCCGCGCGGCTGCCGGCCCCGCCATGGGAGCCGTGTTTGTTTTGACGTCGGTGTCCAGTGGGTGAAGGCGTTTGATCTCCGGAGGAATTCCTCCTTCCTCGCGCTGCTCCACTGCCTCTCCCGCACAAAAGGGCCCCCGCGGGGTCGGGGCTGCCTCTGGGCTTCGTGGGGCTGCCCGTGCGCTCTGTGCCACCCCGCGTGGGCTCGCCGAGGGTCCCGGCTGGTGGAGGCACCCAGCGGCATGACCCCTGCCCTCCTGCAGCCTTCGAGCTGGAGGATGAGGAAGCGAACGGTGCCAAAATGGCAGGGCTGGGCTTGCAGCCACATGGGGGCTGACATCGCCGGGGGGCTGGGGGCCAACGCCGCCAGCCCCGACCCGTTTGCCTGCACCCCATTTAGCTCCAGGCTGCGGGGCAGCCGTGCCCCCTGCCACCAGCAGCAGCGCTTCCCGGGGGCTTTGGTGGGATGGATGCCCCTATTTTTGGGGATTGATGCCCTTTTAGGGATGGTCTGCCTGCCTTTCCGCCTGCCTTTCCATCCTCCCAGGGTCTGGGAACCCAAAGGAGACCCACACAGGGTGCGCACAGCCCCCCACATTCAGAACCGCGACGTTTTAGCTCAATCCCTTGATTTTCAACCCAACTCCTGGCTGTGTTTCCCCACGCCGGGGCTGGTTTCCCCTTCGGGCCACCCATGCCAGGCAGGATCTGGCCCCGCTCCTCCCCGGAGCTGTTTGCAGAGCCCGGGCGATCCCAGGCGGAGGGCGTGCGGCTCCTTATCGCCGCGTTCCCGGGGCCGGATCCTGCGTGCGGGCATGTGCGTGCGTGCCGAGGGCGTGCGAGCTGCTCGGGGAGGTGAAGGACAAAGGGAACCGGGGCGGCCGTGCCGTGCTGGGTGTGTGTGTGGGGGGGGAGCCTGTACCCCACTGCTGCTTCCCGGGGTGCCCAGGGCTTTGGTGTCGATGCTGCGGGGTGCCAAGCCGTGCCGTGCCGTGCCGTGCAGCCGTGCCGTGCCATGCAGCAGCCCCTTGGCAGAGGGTTGTGGTGTGCCCAGTTTTTTTTTTTGGGGGTCTCCGCAGCCAGGACTGGGGTTTTGGTGGCTCTGTCTGGGCTCCCCCCCCCCAATCCCCTCCCCGGCACCCAGGGACTTGAAAGCCTCCCCGGCCGCCCCGGCCCTTTCATGCGGCTCTCGGTGAAGCCTGACCCCGCGCACAAAGCCCCCAGGAGCCCATTTGAATCTGAAAAGGGGTCTGAGCACAGAGCCCTGACCTTCAACCCGTGGGTCAAGCCCGTCCACGCCACCGCCACCGCTACCGGGACCCCCCCCCGGACCCCCCGATGAGCCTGGCCAGACCTGGCCGAGCCTGAAGCCCTGTGACCCCCAGGCCTGCAGCCCTATTGTGCACCCCACAGCCCTGTTTTGTACCCCAGAGCCCTGTTGTGCACCCCAATAGCCCGGTTGTGCACCCCAATAGCCCTGTTGCTCACCCCCAGGGCCCTATTTTGCACCCCACAGCCCTGTTGTGCGCCCCATACCCTTGCCGTGCACCCTGACATCGCAGCCCTACAGCCCTGCCCCGCAGCCCCGTTCCGTGGCCCCGCAGCCCTCCCTGTCTGCCCTCTCCATCTGGATATCGACCCGCTGAGCCTTGAACTCCGCTGCGGCACCTCCCCGGGGAGCCGCAGCCCTGCTCGTGGCCCAGCTGTAGCTCCGTGCCTCAGTTTCCCCAACACCCCGCAGCACATCTGTGCCCCGGGCTGCCCCCCCAGCCCCCTGCACCCTCACCCCATTGACCCCCGCTCACCCTAATCCTGCCCCACACTCGCCCTAATCCTGCCCCACCGCCGCCCCATTGCACCGGGGGCTGCTCAGCCCCGTTCCCCCCCCCGGCAGCCCCCAGCCCAGCCTCGCTGCCGGCCCCCCCCGCGACGCGCGGCTGCCCCCGGTGCGGGGTCACTGCTCCTCTTCCCTCCTGAATATGCATGGGGCCCTCCCGCCACGGCCACCGCCGTCACCTTTGATCCCACGTCAGGGATAACGAAACGGCTTCATCTGCGCCGCGACACCGGGGAGGGGGGGGCTACAGAGCGGTTGGGGGGGGGCACGGCTTTTGTTGCTGGGCTGAGCTGAGCCCCGGGTCCATCCCAAAGCCCCCCATCGATCCCCAGTCCGGCTGAGCCACAGCCACGAGCATCATCGGTTTATTCGGTTTATTGTCCTCATGGGTCCGTCCTGGCCCCATCTCACGGGGGGGGCCGGGGGGGGCACCCTAAATGCAGGTCTCGCTGCCAGCCGGGCGCTGCTCCAGGGCCTGCAGCCGTCGGGCCAGCGCCTGCACCCTCTGGGCGTGCTGCTGCCGCACGGCGCCCGCCTGCGCCTCCAGGCGCCGCAGCTGGGCCCCCTGCTTCTGCCGGGCTCCGCGGTACGCCAGCGCCAGCGCCCTGCGGGCACAGCGTCACCACGGGGCACAGGGACAGGGCTTTTGGGGCAGGGACTGCGATTTTGGGGTGTGCACAAAGGGATTGTGCTTTTGGGGTGTGCGCAAAGGGATTGAGCTTTTGGGGTGCGCACGAAGGGGTGGTAGTTTTGGGGAGCGCATGGAGGGGAGTTGGTTTTGGATGCACGTAAAGGGACTGCGGTTTTGGGGTGCACAAAAAGGGATGGCGGTTTTGGGGCTGGGTTTTCGAGGTGTGCAGGAACAAGGTGCTATTTTGGGGGGTGTGGGGAAGGGCTCTGCGCTTTTGGGATGTGCAAGAAGGGGCCGCACTTTTGGAGAGCATAAAAGAGGGTGGTGATTTCGGGGTGTGCACAAAGCAACAGCACTTTTGGGGTGTGCAGGAAGGGACCGCGCTTTTGGGCTGGGCATGAAGCAAGAAAGCTTTTGGGGCATGCAGGGGGGGTGTGCACCGAAGCCATGCAGGCAGGTTCTGCGTTTTGGGGAGGCGTAGGGGCACCGTGCACCCGCTGCGTGCCGAGCACTGACCGGGCACCCCCGTGCCCACCTGTGAGCGTGGAAGAAGTCTCCGGTGATGGTGACGTACTGCTCCTGCTGCGCGCGGCTGGCAGCGCTGCTCTGCTCCAGGGACAGCACCAGGGCCCGTGCCCGGGCGTGCAGCTCCTCGATGCTGGGGGACACGCTCGTGGCAGAGCCTGGCACGGTGCCGTGGCACACTCAGGGCTCCCGGTGCTGAGGTTCCTTACCGGGCCTGGGCACGGAGCAGCTCTTGCCGCGTCCTCTCCGGGTCCGTGGGGTGCTTGGGTGCCGCAGCTCCAATTCGGGTGGCCTGGGCATCCTGCGGAGCCCCCATAGGGATCAGCACCCCCAGCGAGCCCATGGCCATGGGGAGCAGAGCCAGGGCAGCCTCACCTCCTCGCTGCTGCTGCTGGAGCTGCTGGGGGGGCTGGGGGAGCCCCCATCTCGCTCCCTCTCCAGGTGCTGCAACACCAGGCGCAGCGCAGCCTCCCGCGGCCCCTGCGCCGCCGCCAGCACCCCCAGGCCCCTCTTCTCCTTCTCCACCAGCTGCAGCCGTGTCTTCAGCTCGGCCATGGCCTCCTGGCAGGGCAGCGCCATCACCTTTTGTCCATGCAGAGCCGGGGGGGGGGCTCCACGCGCCCCCTCCTCATCCTCACCTTGAGCAGCGCTAGGTCCCGCAGCAGCTCCTCCTTCTCCGGCCGCCGCCAGCCGGAGAGCAGAGCCCGAGCGTCGCGCAGAGCCCGCTCGGCACGGGCACGGGCGTCCTCGCCGCGGCGGGTGAGGGCGCGGGTGGGCGCGGGGGTGTCGCGCAGGGACCCCTGCACGGCCGCCTGCTCGGCGCGCAGCCGGCGGATGGACTCCCGCAGGGCCCCCTCCTCCGTCCCCTGGGACACCGGGGAGCTGCGGGGACGGGGACGTGGTGGCACCGAGGTGCTGGGTACGGTGCGGGGTCACCACCCAGCCTCGTGCCCCCCCCGGTACCTCTGCAGCCCGGGGCAGGCGCTGGCCCCGCTCTCCTCCTGGCCGTCCGGGTCCGCTCGGTGCGGGAGCTGCGGCCCCTGTGGGGGCTCAGGACCGGACCCAAATCCCTGCTCCGGGCTCTGCTGCCTTGCTGCTCCTGGGCACGGGGCAGGAGGCCTCACAGCGGGGCTGTGCTGGGGACCGGGACCCCCAGCACCCTCTGTGAATCCCCCCAAATCCCACCTGTATCCCCCCTGCACCCCCCTGAATCCCTCCTGCACCCCCCTGCACCCCCCTCCATCCCCCAGCACCCCAAGCATCCCCCCGTGTGTCCCCCGTCCCCCAGCACCCCAGCAGCACCCCCCAAGATCCCCTAATATCCCCCTTGTATCCCTCGTGCACCCTCCCTGCACCCCCCCGAGGTCCCCCGGCACCCCCCTGTGTCCCGCACCCCCCCGAGCCACCACTCACCACCTCCGTGACCGTCCCCTCCCCTGCCCAGCTTCGCCCACGCCTGGTGGAGCAGAGCAGCGTAGGTGTCCTCGCAGCGCTCGCTGCACACAGAGGGGCTCAGCACCGCGCCGTGCCTGCCCCCAGCCCTGTCCCCGTCCCCCCCCCCGTGCCCCCCACCTGCAGTGCAGGGCCAGGCGCAGCGCGCTGCTGCGGGACTCGTGCTGCCCCAGCAGCATGCTGAGCCGCTCCGAGTCGCTCTTGCAGTCCCGCAGGGCGCCCACCAGCTCCTGGTTCACCTCCTTCAGCCTCTCCACGCACCTGGGCGCCACCGCTCAGCCCCGTGCCGCGGTTTCTCCACCGGCGGGGGCTCAGCGGATCCTGGGGCTCGAGTTTTTTTTTTTTTGGGGGGGGGGGTCTCACCTTTGCAGCTGCTGCATCCGATCCTCCAGCTCCTGCTCGGCACCCTCTGAGGGCTGGGGGGAGAGCGGGCTGTGGGGCTGGGTGCTGTGGGTGCTGTGGGTGCTGTGGGTGCCGTCGAAGCTCAGGAGGCGCGAGGGCAGGTCCTGCAGAGGGGAGAGGCAGCGCCTGGTGCCAGGGCAGCAGGATCCCACCCTTGGAGCCACCCCAGCCCTGCACTCACCTGGGGTTCCCCCAGTCCTGGGGCGCTGCCAAGCCCTGTGGTGCCGCTGCCGGCACCGTCCGGCTCCTCCAGCCTTGCCAGAGCCTCCTGCAGCTCCCGGACCTGCGCCGAGCACCGAGCTGAGCCCTGGGGGCCAAACCAGGGGGGCTCCCCTCATTTGGCACCCCCAACCCCGCCCCGGCACCCACCTTCCCCTGCAGCCGATTGCGCTCGCCCTGCAGCACCTGCAGCGAGGCCGTGGCGCGGCTCAGTTCCTCGTCACGGTGCCCCAGGGCTGCCCGCAGCGCCGTGTTCCTCGCCACCGCATCCAGCAGCCCCTCGCCCTGCTCCGGGCCCCCCCATGGCTCCGGCAGAGCCCCCGCTGCCTGCTCCAGCTCCTCCAGGCTCTGGGGGCACGAGGCCAGTCGGGCAGCGCCCATCCCCTTGGGCTTTGGGGCTGCCCGTGCCGCCCTGCCTCACCTTGGCCGCCCGTGCCCACTCTGCCGGCGGGGCTGGGGCTCGGCGGTGCCGGGAGAAGACGGCGCGCTCCAGAGAGCTCACGGCGTGCTGCAGGTCGGCAAAGAGGTCGGGGCCGTGGGCTGGGGAGAGGGATTGGGGAGGGGGTCAGGTGCTGGCATGGCACGGCACGGTGCTGTGGGGCATGGCATGGTGCTGTATGGCATGGCACGATGCTATATGGCACGGCATGGTGCTGTGAGGCATGGCACGGTGTTGCATGATATGGTGCTGTATGGCACAGCACGGTGTTATATGGCATGGCACAGTGCTACAAGGCATGGCACAAAGCTATATGGCACGGCACGATGCTATATGGCATGGCACAATGCTATACGGCACAGCACAGTGCTATATGGCACAGCACAATGCTATATGGCACAGCACCATGCTATATGGCACAGCACAGTGCCATATGGCACAACACGGTGCCGCAGCGCACAAAGCACCCACCTTCCAGACCAGCTCCAGCACCGCGCGTGCCGTCGAGCTCCCGAGGCTGCTGCGTCTCGGCGGGGCCCCTCGAGCCCTCCTCCTCCTCCTCCTCCCTGCGGGGCGGTGAGGCCAGGGGCTGGCTGTGGCCGGGTGCCACCGGTGCCGGTGCCGCCGCGTGCCCGTAGCTGCCGGGGCGGCGCTGCAGCTGCTCGGCGCGGTGCTGCAGCCGGGCCACGGTGGCCAGCAGGCGGGCGATGTGCTCCTCGTGGGGTGGCACGTCCTGGGTGTCCTCCCCCGTGGCCTCGTCCTCATCCTCATCCTCGTCCTCGTCCACCCGCTGGCCTGGCAGGGGCTGCGGGGAGCAGAGGTTTCTGCGGGGGGTGCCCTGGGGAGCACCAGGGGTGGTGCAGAAGGGGGACGAGCGGGTGCTTGGGGTGCAGAGGGGCCGCCACCCGCCGTGCTTCAGCCAGGATGGGGACGAGGGATGAGTTTTGGGGACGGCCACCCAGCACCCCCAGGGACACCCCACTTGCCTCGTCCATCCCAGCCCGACTCCTGCCCGCTCAGCCCGGCCCCACAGCTCGGCCCCGTGCCGTGGCCGGATCCAGGCACGTCCGGGCTGCCGGCGGGGGCCCCGTGGGGCCACCCCAGGTCTTGCCCATTCCTTGTTCCTGCCGAGATTTCCTCTTCCTCAGGAGCCCCGGCGCAGCCTCCCACGCTTAACCGTTGCGCTGCCCTGCGCCGGGTGATGGAGGTGTCTTGGGGGGGCTCTGCAGGAGCCGGGCACCCCAATACCATCCCTAGAGCCCTGCTCTGCCCCATGGCACCCCAGCCCCATGCCAGACCCTCCCCATACACCTGGGTGCTCGTGCACCCCGCCAAGAGCATGCACCCAGCATTGCGCCCTTGCACAACCCCCAAAGTTTGGGGTTGCAGAAGGGCACACGAACATTTGGGGTGCTGGGGGGGCACAGCACGGGGTGCTGGGGTGTGCAGGGCCAGGAGGGAGCCCGCTCAGGGCAGGCAGGTGCTGGGTGATGGTGCACGGGGTGCAAAGGGGCAGCGCACGGGCAGTTAGGGTGCAGAGGGATGGTGCGTGGGTGCGGGAGGTTGTGCATGGGTGTTTGGGGTGCAGGGGGCATTGCAGGGGTGCAGGGGGCGTTGTATGGGTGCAGGGGGGGGTTGCATGGGTGTTTGGGGTGCAGAGAGATAGTGCATGGGTGCAGGTTTGTGCATGGGGTGTTTGGGGTGCAGGGGCCATTGCATGGGTGCGGGGGGCATTGCATGGGTGCAGAAGGTTGTGAACAGGTTTTTGGGGTGCAGGGGGTTGTGAATGTTTTTTTGGGGTGCAGGGGGCGTTGCATGGGTGCAGGGGGTCGTGCATGGGTGTTTGGGGTGCAGGGGGGTTGCATGGGTGCAGGGGGTGTTGCATCAGTGTTTGGGGTGCAGGGACCATTGCATGGGTGCAGAAGGTTGTGAATGGGTTTTCGGGGTGCAGGGGGTTGTGAATGGGTGTTTGGGGTGCAGGGGGGCTGCATGGGTGCAGGGGGTGTTGCATGAGTGTTTGGGGTGCAGGGACCATTGCATGGGTGCAGAGAGGTTTGCATAGGTGCAGGGGGAGGTTGCATGCATGCAGAGGGTCGTGCATGGGTTTTTGGGGTGCAGGGGGCGTTGCATGGGTGCAGGAGGATGTGCATGGGTGTTTGGGGTGCAGAGAACATTGCATGGGTGTAGGGGGCGTTGCATGGGTGCAGGGGTCGTGCACAGGTTTTTGGGGTGCCAGGGGTCGTGCACGGGTTTTTGGGGTGCAGGGGTCAGTGCATGGGTGCAGGGGGTCGTGCATGGGTTTTTGGGGTGCCGGGGGCGGTTCCTGCCCCCTGACAGTTGCCCGGGCTCCATCCTGCCCCCCCCCCCCCCCCCCACGTGCCCGGCGGGTTCCCCCCCCCGGGAACTACAACTCCCAGCAGCCCCCGCGCGCCGCCACTTCCGGGCAGCAGCGGGCGGGGCTCGGGCGGCCGAGAGCGGGTGAGCGCGCGCCGGGGGGCGAGGGGGGGGGCGCGGGGCTGGGGGGGGCACAAAGGGGGTGCATGGGGAGTGCATGGGGCCATGGGCAGTGCATGGGGGCAGGGGTCCACAGGGGCCGGGGGGGTCCACAGGGGCTGGGGGGGTCTACAGGGGCTGGGGGGGGTTCACAGGGGCTGGGGGGGTTGCATGGGGTCGAGGGGGGGATGCACGGGGCGGGGGGGGGGCACAGAGGGGGTGAGGGGGGCACAGGGGGGGTGCACGGGGTCGGGGGTCCACAGGGGGTGAGGGGGGTGCACGGGGTCAGGGGGGAGGTGCACGGGGTGGGGGGGTGTATGGGGTGGGGGGGGTGTATGGGGTGAATGGGGTCGGGGGTGCATGGGGGCAGGGGTCCGCAAGGGCTGGGGGGGGTGCACGGGGTCAAGGGGGGATATGGGGTTGGGAGGATGCACGGGGTCGGGGGGGGACACAGGGTCGGGGGTGTTGCACGGGGTCAGAGGGGGGATACAGGGTCGAGGGGGGTGCATGGGGTCAGGGGGGTGCACGGAGTCAAAGGGGGACACAAGGTCAGTGGGGGTTGCACAGGGTCAGGGGGGTGCATAGGGTAAGGGGGGGTTGCGCAGGGTTGGGGGGTGTATGGGGTCAAGGGGGAACACGGGGTCGGGGGGGTTGCACGGGGTCGGGGTGGTGCATGGGGTCAAGGGGGGACACAAGGTCAGTGGGGGTGCACAGGGTCAGGGGGGTGCACAGAGGAGGCACAGGGGTCGAGGGGAATTTTATGGGGTCAGGGCTACCCTGGGCAGCATGGGGGGGACACCACAGGGTTATAGGATCAGGAGGCACAAAGGGTGGTTACCCAACCCCAATAACACCCCCGCAGCCCCCCCCCAGCACCCCCCCATGGAGCGCGGCTGCGGCATGGACACGTCGGAGCCGGGCAGCGCCGCCGAGGAGGAGGAGGAGAAGGCGCTGGGGGAGCAGCGACCCCGCACCCGCTCCAACCCCGAGGGCGCCGAGGACCGGGCTCTGAGCGCCCAAACCAGCGTGGGAAACCGCAGCGAGGGCGAGGGGGAAGCCGCCAGCGCCGACGACAGCCCCCAAAGCACCGCGGCCCCCGACGGCACCGCCTGGCCCGGCCCCGCGCACCCCGCGGAGGTGCAGGTGAAGACGCCGCGGGTGAACTGCCCCGAGAAGGTGGTGAGTGAGGCATCGGTACTGGGTTTGGGGGGTCCTGGGGGGGCACGGTGGGGCTGGGGGTGTTCAGCATGCCCTTCTTCCCCCCCCCAGATCATCTGCCTGGACCTGGCGGAGGAGATGGCTCTGCCCAAGCTGGAGTCGTTTAATGGGTGAGTGGCGGGGTTTGGAGAGGGGGCTGGTGGTGGGGTTTTGGGGGTGGTGGCGCTGAGCGCAGCGTCCCCGTCCCCGTCCCATCCCGCAGGTCCAAGACCAACGCGCTGAACATCTCGCAGAAGATGATCGAGATGTTCGTGAGGACGAAGCACAAGATCGACAAGAGCCACGAGTTCGCGCTGGTGGTGGTGAACAACGACGCCACGTGGGTGAGCGGGACGGGGACAGGATGGGGACAGGATGAGGATGGGGATGGGGGCAGGATGGGATAAATACAGGGATGAGGATGGGATGGGATGAGGATGGGGATGGCATGGGGATGGATGGGATGGGGACAGGATGAAGATGGGGATGGAATGGGATGGGAACGGGGATAGGATGGGGGTGGGGACAGCTCCGTGCCCCCCTCACCCCGTCTCCCCTCAGCTCTCAGGGTTCACCTCGGACCCCCGCGAGGTCTGCAGCTGCCTCTACGACCTGGAGACCGTCGTCTGCAAGTCCTTCAGTATCCACGCCGGCAGCGAGCCCCATGGGGCTGGGGGCTCGGAGCATGTGGGGTCCCCTTTGGGTGCCATCGGGGTCCCTTTGGGTGCCGTTGGGGTCCCTCGGGTTCCCGCTGGGCCCTTCCAGGCCCTTTGCCTGCAGATGGCAGCAGATCCGCGGCCTCGCTGCTGTCCCCGCAGTGGCCACGCCGGGGCTGTGAGGCTGAGCTCCTTCCCCTCCTGCCCCAAAAACCATTTCTTGGGAATTTTCTCCCCACCCCAGGGCATCCCCGGGCACCGGGTCTGAGCGCAGGACCCCCACTGGGGGGGGACGCAACGGTCTGGGGGGCGGGGAGGGGTCTGTTTTTGGGATCTGTCCTTACCTCGGGCTGCAGATCTCGAGGGGCTCTTCAACCTCATGTGAGTACGGCCGGGGGGGGCACACAAGGGGCTGGGGGGGCGCATGGAGGGCTGGGGGCCGCCAGCATCACCCTAAACACCAAACGAGCGGGGTTCCTGCGGTGCCGCCCCCCGTGGTGGGTTTTAGGGGTGCTGGGTTTGCTCTGAGGGAGGTGGGGGAGGTCTCAGCCCCCCACCCCGGTGTCCCCCCCCCATCCCGGCGCAGCCAGCAGAAGATCGAGCTGCCGGTGACGGAGAACGTGCAGACCATCCCGCCCCCCTACGTGGTGCGCACCATCCTGGTGCTCGGCCGCCCGGGCTGCCAGCCCCAATTCTCTGCCTCGGAGCAGATGAAGGTAGGGACCCCGGGGTGCCAAGGGTGGGCTCGGGGGGTGGGGGGGTGTCCGGTGTGTCCAAAAACTGTGCCCGGACCCCCAGGGACCCCATGTGGGTGGGTTCAGGGGGTGTCCGGTGCGTCCAAGAGCATGGGGTGCCATGGGTGAGCTCGGGGGGTGTCTGGGGTGTCCAAAAGCCGTGCCCAGACCCCCAGGGACCCCATGTGGGTGGGCTCGGGGGGTGTCTGACGTGTCCAAAAGCTGTGCCCGGACCCCCAGGGACCCCGTGGGGGTGGGCTCGGGGGGTGTCCGGTGCATCCAAGAGCTGTTCCCAGCCCCCCGGGGTGCCATGGGTGGGTGGGCTCCGATGGTGCCTGGCGTGTCCAAGAGCTGCGCCCAGCCCCCTGGGGACCCCAGATGGGTGGGCTCGGGTGGTGCCCAGGACACCCAAAAACCGTGCCCGGTGTCCCCCCCCATCCCGCAGAAGATGCTGCAGTGCCCCTACTTCTTCTTCGACGTGGTTTACATCCACAACGGGGCGGAGGAGAAGGAGGACGAGACGAGCTGGAAGGTGAGCGCAGGACGAGGGCGGGGAGGGATGGAGCGGGGAGCGCAGGGGGGGGTTTCGTGCTGTCCCCCCCCAGCTACCCGAAGCTGTGTGGGGGGTGTCCCCGTGTCCCTCCCCAGGAGCTCTACGCCTTCTTCAGCAGCCTGGACGCCAAGGGCACCAACTACAAGTACGAGGTGGCGCTGACGGGGCCGGCGGTGGAGCTGCACAACTGCATGGCCAAGCTGCTGGCGCACCCCCTGCAGCGCCCCTTCCAGACCCACGCCGCCTACAGCCTGCTGGAGGGCGACGAGCCCCCCGAGGCCGAGGCCACCGTCTGACCCCCCCCCCCGAGGTCACGGCCACCCTGTGACCCCCCCCCGAGGTCATAGTCACCGTCTGACCCCCCCCCTGTGGCCACCCTCTGAGTCCCCCCCGGTGGCCACCGCATCCTAGGGCCCAGGAGCGTCCCCCCCCCCGAGGTCACGACCACCCTGTGACCCCCCCCCCAGGTCACGGCCACCCTATGACCCCCCCCCGAGGTCACGGCCACCCTGTGACCCCCCCCCTCCCGAGGTCATGGTCACCCAGTGACCCCCCCTCCTCCCCGTGGCCACTCTCTGAGACCCAGCCGGTGGCCACCGCATCCTAGGGCCCAGGAGTGTGTCCCCCCCCCGAGGTCACGACCACCCTGTGACCCCCCCCCCGAGGTCATGGTCACCCTGTGACCCCCCTCCTCCCTGTGGCCACCCTCTGAGTCCCCCCCGGTGGCCACCGTGTCCTGGAGCCGCCACGTGCCCCAGGAGCGTCCCCGTGCACCCTATTGCTCCGTGGTGGGGTTTGGGGGAAAAAAAGGTGTTTTTAGGACTGGTCGGTGTGCGGTGTGGTGTTGGGGGTGCTGGGGGGGTGTGGGGTCTGCTCAGCCCTCGCTGGATGGGGAGGGGTGGGGGGCACGGGGTGGGGTGGGCTGCGGGTTTTGGTTGTGGGGGGGGTACTGGGGGTCTGGGTGGGGTTACTGGGAGGAACTGGGCGCTGCTGGGGCAAGGTTACTGGGAGGAACTGGGTAATTCAGGGGCAGGGAACTGGGAGGAACTGGGCACTGCTGGGGCAGGGAACTGGGAGGAACTGGGTGATGCTGGGGCAGGGTTACTGGGAAGAACTGGGAGATGCTGGGGCAGGGAACTGGGAGGAACTGGGTGATGCTGGGGCAGGGTTACTGGGAGGGACTGGGTAATTCAGGGGCAGGGCACTGGGAGGAACTGGATGGTGTAGGGTGTCAGGGTTACTGGGCGATACTGGTGCAGGGCACTGGGTGGCACTGGACGATGCTGGGGCAGGGCACTGGGAGGAACTGGGAGCTGCAGGGGCAGGGTTACTGGGAGGCACTGGGAAGCGTAGATGCCAGGTTACTGGGATGCACTGGGCAATGCCGGGGCAGGTTACTGGGAGGCACTGGGAAGTGTAGGTGCCAGGTTACTGGGACGCACTGGGCAATGCCGGGGCAGTTACTGGGAGGCACTGGGCGCTATGGCCCCGCCCCTTCGAGTTGTGGGCGGGGCGTCCCGCGGCCTCTTCCTATTGGCTGGCGAGGCGACCAATGAGCGGCGGCGCGGGGGGGTTTGAATGGGCGGGGGCGCGCGCGCGCGCCGCGGGGCGGCATGAATGGAGCGGGGCGGCGCGAGCAGGAGGGGGGGCTACGAGCGCCGTAAGGAGGGGGGGCGCGGTTTATGGGGGGGGGCGGGGGATGCACCGGGAGGGGGGGGGCTTGCACCGGAGGCCATTGCACGCCCTGCACCCGGGGCTGTTGTGTTAACGGGGGGGGCCCGGGGGGGCTCGCTTAGGGCACCCCTCAGTGCACTGGGGGGGGTGTTGCGCTGGGGGGGGCTTCTTCGCGTTGTAAGGGGGGGGTCTGGTGTGGGTGGTGCTGGGGAGGGTGCTGCATGCATTGTTTTAAGGGAGGGGGGTCTAGGGAAGGGGGTGTTGGGTGCCTTGGGGGGGGTTGTTGCGCTGTTGGCCCCCCCCTTTCCCTGTATGGCCGCGGTTCATTGGGCTCAGCCCCACGGGGGGGCGCTGGGGGAGGTGCAGGTAGGGGCCGTGCACAGTTTGGGGTGACCCGGGGGGGGTGCAGGCCGGTGACCCCCCCCACCCTACTGGCTGTGCCGCAGGGTGCTGGAGGCCCTGCTGCAGCTGGGGGCTGACCCCAAACTGCTCCTGCCTCGTGGGGGGGTCATCCCCAACCACTTGGCTACTGGTGGGAGGAGCTGGGGGGGTGACAAACTGTGGCTGGGGAGGGGGCACCGAGGGGACAGCAGTGACCCCAATCTCGTGCCAGGTCCCCCCAGGAGCTCCCAACACCACACGTCGCCGCGTCCCGGGGGTGCCGCCGGCTGAAGATGGGGGGGTACCAGGGGTACCCGGATCTCCGCGACCAGGTGAGCTGGGGGGGCGCTTTGGGGACAGCACCGAGCTGCTGCCGGGGTCCCCGTCCTTGGTGGGGGTGTCACAGCAGCGTCCCCCTCCCCGCAGGATGGGAAGCGAGCCGTCGACCTGGCGCTGCCGCGGGGCTGCCGGCTGCGCGCACCACTCCTGCGTGCCCCCCTGCACGTCCAGGGCTGCCCCCCTGCAGGGGATAACCCCCCCCCGGGGTGCTGCTGTGGCTGGTTTCGGGGCGCTGCTGCTGCTCCTCCTCCTCTTGGGGGGCCGGGTGCTGAGCCCCATCCCGACCCCGTAGCCCCGTGGGGGGCCAGGCGCTCGCTGTCCTTCCTGACCGAGGATTGCTCCGACGCGGGGCCCCTGAGCAGCACCCGCCTGTCCCAGCTGGGTGAGCTGGAACCGGGGAACAGCCACGGGTCTGGGGGGGCCCCAGCATGGCCGGGCTGTCCCCCGCCCGCCTCCGTCCCCTCCTTCCCCCTGTGCCCCCCCAGGGGCTCGGCTTTCCCTCCGCAGCCCCTCGCCTCCAGCACCCTGCTGTGTGCTGGGGACGAGCCTGGGCAGGGAACCCCGAGAGGGATGGGGACGGGGGGGGGGCCCAAGCCCAGAACTGGGGCCAGGAGCCCCCCCCGGCCCCTGGGTTGCAGAGGGGCTGGGGGCCGTGACTGCAGCAGCCTCGGGGAGGAGGACAGCAGCATGGCCAGCGAGTGCTTCGTCACCGCGGTGGAGACGTTGGAGCCCAGTGAGGCCGGGGGGTGCCAGGGCGAAGCAGGACCCCAGGAGCTGCCCCCCCGGAGCCCCCCAGCTGTGGGGGAGCTGCCTGCGCTGCTCCAAGGCTGCACCCTCGGGGGCTCCCCTCCTGGCACCCCAAGGACCCCTCGCAGTCCACCCAGCCTCGCTGCGGGGGTGGCACCTTGCAGCCCCCCCAGTTCTGCCACGTCACCCCCCGCACCAAGAGCCGCCTCCAGGCCTCAGCAGAGCGGCTTGGTGCCTCCTCTTCCTCTTCCTCCCTCTTTGACACCACCCTGGAGATGCCCCGGAGGCCCCCCAGGGTCAGAGCACCCAGGGGTGTCCCCGGGGACACCGCCCCCACCCTGGGGCACCGCGTCGCCCTTGGGGGTGCGGATGTGTCGGGGGGGGACGGAGAAGGCACGGCTTCCCTGGATGACACCCAGATCCTCCCCAGGACCCCCAGCCAGCCCAGCTCCCCCCTGGGGGGCAGCAGCTCCAGCCCCACGGTGCTGCTGGGTCCTGGGGACCGCGACCCCCCCCAGGACTCCCCGTCAGACCCTCGGGGCTCCCCCAGCTCCATCTCCACGGTGCTGCTGGGTCCTGGGGACCAAAGATCCCCCCACAACCCCCCATCGGGTCCTCAGAGCTCCCCAAGCTCCAGCCCCACGGTGCTGCTGGGTCCTGGGGACCGCGACCCCTTCCAGGACTCCCCCCACGCCACCAACCCCAGGGTGCTGGAGCCGGGGAGCCCACCGGTGCCACCCTCACCCACCGTCTGCGTCCCCCATCGCGCCGTGGAGCACGAGGGACGGGTGCCCGGCGAGTGGCACAGCCCCGGTGCAGAAGCCACCAGCCCTGGGGACACCGCGGTCCCCAAGGGGCGAGCACGGGTCCCACGGGTGCTCTCCGACGAGGCGCTCCGCCAGCGGCTGCGGGTGCTGGGGGAGGACCCCGCGCCCATCACGGAGTTCACCCGGCGCATCTACCTGCGGCGCCTGGAGAAGCTGAGCCGCAGCCCCGAGGGTGAGTCCTGGGGAGCCCCCCCCCATCACTCTAAGCCTGATGGGGGGGTCTCGGGGTGTTCCCCAACCCCACCGTGGCCACCCCAGGGCACAGCCCCGAGCTGGCGGCCGCGCTGCAGACCGGCCACGTCCCCGACTGCGCCCAGGACGAGCGGGTGTTGGCGCAGCAATTCGACCGCCCCGACCGGAGCCGGCACTGGCGCGAGGGGCTGCTGAAAGCCAGCTTCAATTACCTCCTCCTCGACCCCAGGTAGGGCTGGGCTGCGTGGTTCTGGGGCTGGTGCCCCCCCCATGGAGACCACACAAGCCCCAAAGGTTGGGGTTTGCACCCCCAGGGTCACCCAGGACCTGCCGCTGCGCTGCCACCGCCTGAGCCCAGCGGAGTGCTTCAGGACCTTCGTCAAAGCCGTCTTCTACGTGGGCAAGGGGACGCGCGCCCGGCCCTACTGCCACCTCTCCGAGGCTCTGAGCCAGTACCGGGCAGGGACGAGGAAGGTGGGATGGGCTGGGGATTGTCCCGGGTGGGGGGCTCGAGGCCACGGTGGTGGGCACGGGGTCGTGGTGATGGTGCTGCCATCCCGCAGGGCTGCCCCAAGGTGCGGCGCATCCTGGAGATTTGGGGCAGCGGGCAGGGCGTCATCTCCGTGCACTGCTTCCAGAGCAGCGTGCCGGCCGAGGCGTACACCAGGGAGAGCTGCGTGGTGGAGGCCCTGGGTGAGTGGGGTTGTGGCGGGGGGACAGGTCCCGGGATCGGCTCTGCCACCTCTCCGACCCCACTGCGTGCAGAGCAGGGGGCTGCAGCCTGTCCTGGGGTGCGCGGGGAGTTTGGGGTGCGTGGTCGGCAGCACGGGGTTTGGGCACAAGCCCCCCATTCTCCATCTCCAGTAGGGGAAAGATGCCTGGGAGCGGGTGCTAACGGGGACCCTACGGGGTTGTGGGTGCTAACGGGGAGGTACGAGGGTGCTGAACCCATCCGGGGGGGCTGAGGGTGCTGACCCCCTCCCCGCAGGGCTGCAGACCATCACCAACCAGCGGAAGGGGAACTGCTACGGCGCGGCGGCGAGCTGGCCACCCGAGAGGCGCCGGCGCCTGGGCGTGCACATGCTGCACAGGGCCATGCGCATCTTCCTGGCCGAGGGCGAGCGGCAGCTCCGGCCAGCGGACATCCAGGGTGGGCGCTGAGCACCCTGGGGAGACACGGGGGGGCTGGGGACACCCCTCGCCTTCACCCCCTTGCGCCTCTCCAGGAGGCGAGGGCAGCGTGGTGGCGTGTTTTTATCTTCTGAGTGACAATGAGAGTTTTTTCCTATTTATTTTTACCCATCCCCTAAATGGTGAGGAATAAATCACGGCAGGGCTGGACGTGGCGACGACTCGAAGCGCTCCCCGTGGTTTTGGGCTTCGCTTCCCATCCCTGCCGTGCTCCCAAACCCTGCCCCCCCGTGACCGAGTCGGACGCGGCTGAGAATATAACACGGCTTTACTGTATGAAATGGCACGAACACGGCGCGTGGCTCAGCGGCGGGGGGGGAGCGGGGGGCGTTTTGCCTTTGCCTTAGCGCAAGCGATGGCGGTACGAGCGGCACAGACTCCGTGGTGACAGAGGGCGAAGGGCCGTGGCGCTGACAGTCGCCTCCGGCCCGTTTTGGGGGGGTGCAGCAAGGGGGGGGCAGAGCCGTGATTCGGGGTAGGGGTGCGGAAACGCATCCGCTCCCAGGTTTAGGGCGTTAAAATTCTCATTATGAGACAGGAGGCTGCAGTGGTGGGCACGGGCGGGCGGGGGCGGAGGGGACAGAGCGTGGCTCGTGCGGTGGCACTCGTCACACGCGGTCCCTGCAGTGCCAGCACCAGCTCCCAAGGGCCCTTCCTCTTCCCCATCGCTCGGTTTTGGGGTGCCAGCTCTGATTATAGGGCAGCCCCGCACGGCCGGGAGCCCCCGGAGCTGACCTGGGGTGGTGAGGATGAAGAGGGGCTCCTGCACCCACCCAGAGGGTGAGGTTCCCACGGGACGAACGGGCCTGGCTGTTTCTTTGGTTTAGATGGGGGGGGGGAAAAAAGAGGAGAAAACAACGAGGGGAGCGGCTCTGCTCTTTGGGGTAACGAGGAGGCTGCGGCCATCCCCAGCGCGTGGGCTTGGGGCCGGGGAGCAGCCGTGCCGAGCACAGCCCCAGCTCGCTCAGGGGTCCCACGGAGCCCCCCAGCCTGGCCGGGAGCACGGAGACCCCACAACAATGCCCGGCGCATCCCATATACCTTCATGGTCCTGGCTATGGGACACGAGTGGTGGAGGGGAGGAACGGCTCCGGGATCCGTGGGGTTGCGCACGGAGCCGGTGCTGGTAACAAGCGCTCGGCCCCGGTTTGCATCACCCCGCCCCGCGTTGCTCGGGGTTTGCTGCAGGTGCCGGGGAGGGCGGGGGGCACGGCGCGGTGGTGGCGGCTCCGAGCACCTCGAGGAGCCCCGGTTGGCGGGGGCAGCAGGGGGGGGGAGCTGTGCAGAAGCCAGCGCTGCGGTAACCTAAAGCGGCGGTGGTTGGGGACACGACTGCACGAACGGTGGCACTGGGGGAGAGCTCAGCCTCCTCGCCCCCCCCCGCCACTGAGGGTTAGAGAGGCAAATCCCACTTTTGGCTTCCCCTTCAAGCAATCCCACGTCGGCTCCTCCAGCCCTGGCGAGGAAGAAGCCGGGGGGGGCACCGCGCTCTCCCCGCAGGGACCCCGTCTGCCTTCGTCCCGCGCTGCTGCAGGTGGGAGCAGCCCCCCCGCAGCATCCTCTCTCTCTCTCTCTCTGCCCCTCCCCGGGGGGGTCGCTGCGTGAGGAAAAGAACACTACAACGAAACAGGATGAAGACGCTCCAGCGGCTGCCATGCCATCCCCGAGGGGAACGGCGACCGGGTCTGCCGTGGTCCCGCTGCCGACCCCGCGCACCCGTGCCCGGGGGGAGCCCCCGCGCTCCGCCGCCGCCAGCCTGCGACCCGGCTGCGGCCGGGGAAGAAAAATCAGCTCCGCTCCCGGCGGGGGCAGGCTGCACCCTGCCCCTCTGCGCTCGTAAAGCCCTCTGCGCTCCGAAACGTCTCTCCCATCGGAGCAGCCCGGTCACCGCGTCCCCGCCACCTTATTTTTTCTCTCCTTGCCCGTCCCCGGTTGGCGTCTCGGGCTCCCACAGGACGAACTCGTGGAGCAGGGTGTTGACCGTCTCGGGGCACTCCATCATCACCATGTGGCTGCCCTCGTCGATCACCTTCAGGAAGGCAATCAGCAGGATCTGGAGGGACACGGGGACGGGCGTCAGCGCCGGGACGAGCCCCCGACCCTCACCCCCTAACCCCGCTCCATCCCGTACCTCGGCCATGCGCTGGTCCTCCTCCACCGGCACGAACTTGTCGTGCATGCCGTGCACCAGCAGCACGGGCACGGCCAGCTCCGCGTGGTAAACCTCGTCGCCCTCGGGCCAGTACTGCCCGCTCATCATGGCGCGCAGCACGAAGGAGGACACGTTGAAGGCGTTGCCTTCCTTCAGCAGCTGCTTCTCTTTGGCACCCTGGCGAGCGAAGCCAGCCCTAGGGGACAGAGCCAGCACGGGCAGGGGGGTCAGCATGGCACAGTGCCGCTATCATACAGGCTGGGGACACGCTGCCCGTGCTGGGGGGTCCCCAAACTGGGAGCCCGCACGGGGCTGGGTTTATTGGGGACAGCGGTGGCGCGGAGCCGGGGACTCACTTGAGGAAGCTCCAGGCCAGGCACGGGGACAGGCAGTGCAGCACGCAGGTGGGCATGTTGAAGATGGAGCAGAGGCTGGGCTCCAGCGCCGTCGGGCCCCCTCCGTTGATCATGATCACTTTATGGACCAGGTCTGGGTACTCGTGGGCAAGGAAGGTGCAGAAGGAGACCCTGCGGGGAGACACAGCGCCGTGCACCCAGCTCGTTCCTGCACGAAGCAGCCCCCGGCACAGCAGGGACGTCACCAGCGCCCTGAGATCAGCTCAGCCACGCTGGAGGCTGCGTCCCACTCGTTCCTCCCATCTAATCCTGCCCAGCTCCACTCCCTCTCCTCCCAGGCCTGCTCTGGAGCGCTTAGTCCCCTTCTAATTGACTTTCTCGGGCTTACTCTATTTATAGGCTGAGTGCCGCCGGCTTCCTTGCTAGCCCACGCGCTCGGGAGGGCGGGCGCCGGGATTAGCCGGACCCAGAAACACGCACCGAGAGGATGGAGGAGATCAGAGCTGAGGATAAACCTAGGGCTGGAAACCCCGCACCCCTGCTCTGCTCCTCAGCCCCAGCGGGGTGGGATTCACGCAGCATTCGCTGGCATTTTGTCCGGCATTTCTCCAGCATTTGCTGCCACGGGGAGGATGGCGGCGGTGTGAAGGTGTCCCCCGTGTCCCTTACCCGTAGGAGTGCCCTATGAGGATGTTTCTCTTCTTGGCGTAGCGCTTGAAGACGGCCCTCATGTCCTCGGCCAGCGCGTAGAAGGTGTAGGCGGCGGCGATTTGGGGAGCCGAGCTGCAGCCGTGGCCGGCCAGGTCGGGAGCCACCACCTCGTAGCCCAGCTTGGTGAAGAAGTCCAGCTGCTCCTTCCAGATGTCCAGCGAGCCGCCCACGCCGTGGATGAAGAAGAGGACGACGTCGCTGTGCGTGCCTTTGCAGCTCGTGATCTGCTTCTTGCAGTCGATGTTGATGACTTTCTTAGGCTTGCGCTTCCGACGCTTGGCGGGGGCTGCGTCGCGGGTGCCGGTTCCCGGCGTGCCGGCTCCCGGCGTGCCAGCTCCCGGCGTGCCGGCGGGGGCTTGGTTTGCCAGCTCGGAGAGCTCCAGCTCCACGGTGCTGTTGGGCTCCGCCGAGCCGTTGTGGCAGTGCAGGATCTCGGAGCGGACGGCGTCCCCCAGGTTCTCGATCACCAGCTGCCCGTTGCGGTACAGGGTGATTTTGCGCTTGCAGTGCACCGTGCCCCGCTCCGTGCCCCCCGCCTGCGGCTCCTCGGGCTGCTCGGCGGCCGGGCGGCTCGGCGTGCTGTGCCGGACCCGCAGGATCCTCCCCGGCTTCACCTCCATGAAGCTGTAGCCGTTGCCGGCCTCAACGCTGTCCAGCGGCCCCACGGCGTTGGTCGTTTTGCCCATCAGGCAGCAGAGGAGCCCATCGGTGATGCTGTTCAGCATTATGCTCCCTGCACGGGGCGAGAGGGGAAGCAGAAGGGTGTTAGTCCGAGCGGGGAGAGCCAGGGCAGCGTGAGCGAGGGCAGAGCACGCTCCTGGGGGCTGAATTTGGTGCTTCCCCAAACGCACAACCTCGGTTTTGCTTCTGGTCGGAGGTGGAACCCCTGCGCCCTCGTCCAGCTTTGGCCACGTCCCCATCACCAGCCTGGCGTGGTGCTGTGGCTGCCAAGCCCCACGGTCCCCAGGTGATGAGCCCCCAAGGATGGCTCTGCCCTAGCCAAGGGAGGAACACCGAAGGAAAAGCCCGTCTGAACCGAAAAAGCTATTTCTGGCACCAAATATGGGGCTGGGAGGAGAGGTTCGGCGATGGGGATGCATTATTTATCCTGATGAAATATAAATGTGTGCGGAGCTGCGCTCCAAACCACCGATGCGATTAGCAAATTGCAGGGAGCGGGGCTGGAGGTTTTAATTAGAGTCACTCCGCAAATTGAGGCTGAGCGCAAGAACCGGAGGGAGAGGCAGTAAACCCAGCCCGGAGCGGGGGGGGAGCCCCCTCCCCATATTTCCAGCCCCACAGCAGGGTTGGGAGAGGCTGGGGGAGCTCGGCACCATCCTCCCTGGCCCCAAGGCAAGCCCAGTTTTTGATGCTTGCTCTTCCTGGGGTTTTTGGGATGTTTTTGAGCTTGGGGGGGCTTTTGGAGAGGGCTGGGGGTGATGGGACCAGCAGGGGTGGGTGCAGCAGGGGCTGGGGGCACCGAGCTGGGGCTGGCACCGAGGGCGCATGGCCCGGGCTGGGGCTGTTCCTGCCGCCCCTCTCCACCAGGCTGATGCACATTTATTATTGACGAAGCCAAACACGGTGAATTATTGATGCCAAAGGGCTGCTGAGCAAAGCGAGCCGCGGCGGGGGCTGGGGGGACACGGGCAGCCCCCCCTTCAGCTGCAAGTTACTGAGCGTGGCCCCCCCAGCGGGTGGAAGGGAAGGAGGAGTGCGTTCCCAGCGGGGAATTCAACATCACCATGCTGGTTGTGCTGGGCACAAGCACGAGCAAAACAACCCAGGGAACGGAGGCAGGCAGGGCTCAGGGCTCTGATAATTCGCAGCTTTGATAATTCGGTGCGTTTGGGGGCCAAGAGGGCGATGCTGCACCCTGCTCAGAGCCTCGCAGCACCCCCAGCCTGGCCCCCAACGGCACAGAGCCAAGGCACCCGCGCCT